ATTATTAGACAATTGTCTAAATAGTGCTCATGTACAGGTATTTATAAGTTTTAGAGTATACATACATAAAGAGATTTAGAGAAACAGTGAGTGCATTTTATACATACAATAAAATCAGAAACACTGCAAAATACCTGCAGACCTGCTTGTTTTGAGTTGTACTTTTTTGGGATATTACATTTCAAGAATTCATATAATGAAAATGAAGTCCACTTCAAAATCCGGTAACTGTGATAAACCCAGTCACTTCTGTTGCTTGAAACTGCTAGTACCTGTTATCTAAAGTAGATTCGATGAACACTGAAACTGTAATTACTGTACCTCAACACCTTAACCAGCCTTCCCTATTCACAACTATTTGGTAAAACAATAAATGGTGCAAAATACTTATCAGTATAGCAAGGGAGTTTATAATTAATCGATTACCCACCATGTATAAGAAAACGAATTTTGTTATATACGAGATGATAGATATTCTTTGCTTTAGCTTGCTTAATTAAGGCCAGACCTGAGCTTTTCATGTTCGAACTGGAAAGGGTTTGGGATTAAGCATCACACAGGAGGTAAGGAGGGAAAGAGGGACACAAGTATTTCACAGGATAAAGGGGTTAGCTGTAAGTGTGGAGTGACAGGCTCGAAATACATACCACCCAGATGCAAGTCGATGATTTCACTGTAATTAGATTCTCCCCAATAGTCTACAATAAGGATATATTAGAGAGAGTTACTGCACACAGCCCAGACTGGGCAATATTATCTGTAATGAGAAATCATGCACTCACACACATGCTCACAGTACATACAGAACAGTATATACACTGTACAGTATGTATCCCAATCCTGTCATATACAGTACAGCCTCAGAGTTGATGACTCAATGCTCACAGTTCGGAAGTTTGGAACCCTTTCTATATTCCAAGCTAATAAAAGGAATGTTTCATCATCAGTGAAGACCTGAAGACCAGCAAACACAACTTAATATAATGTTACAGGTGTATAACTGTTTAATATAAGGACATGTTTAGCAGTATTTTGTCACAGCATCTTAACAAACCAGGTACTTTAGGTGGCCAGACCAAGGATTCTGAAGGGCTTTATTAACAAGGTGAATTTTCCTTCTGCATTACTTAATTTTTAAAATGCCTGCACTGTTACATAGTACACACAATACTGTGTATAATACGTGCAGTAGGACTATAATGAAGGTTTTGTTTTCACTTTGCAAATAAACCCAAAAGGTGATTACAGTTATAAGTTCACATTAACTACCTTACTGAAATACAGTATAGCTAAGGAAGAAAAAATCAGCACCACTGCTGCTTTTACTCTTCTTTTCCATTCTTCCGTCTTGCTCATCCTATAACATTTCAGTGGGCAAAGGTCCCATGGGCAAAGGTGACATTTTTTAAACTGCTGTTTTCCCTCTTCCCTTTGATAAATAATCTTAAAATATGTCTAATCTGGCTGTGCATCCATAATCCTTCCCCGATTAAAAATACACTCACCTTCCTTCCTACAAGTCACCTTCTGTGCACATCTTTGAAGAATTCCTTTCTGCATACAAGTATAATAAAGTAATCCTATAGACAATACCTACTAAAGAAGGTGGTATTTTTACTTTGGGGAGATCAAATGTGATTGTGTATCCCAAATTACGTTTTAGACAACAAGAAAATAACATTTTGCAGTAAAGACTAATAGAAATGGTATAAATGTTAAATAGGTAAGGAAATTGAAAGTAAAAGCAGTCAGAGCTGGACAGAGGGATTACTATCCATTTCCACTCAGTACTCTGTATGCTTGTGATTCCTGTTTAATGTCACATCTCCACACAAAAATGTAAAAACTTAAGAGCTTGACTAAGGTTTTGTTGAGAAGTGGGAAAAAGACAAAAAACAATAGGAAAGTAAGAAGCTGTGTGAATTGTGCCCAAAGAACCTTGAGCAATTGTATTATATTCTATACATAAAACTGTCAACTCTAGATTTAGTTTTTACCAAGATTTAAAAAGTAAAATTAAGAAAAAAGTATGAGATTATTACTAGGATACAATAAAGGTACAATTGAGTACCTTAATTAGTTTTTAACTATTAACTATTTTATTGAGCATCATAATCACACTGAATATAAAACTAGAACATCCATCCATCAGATTACGTCTGATTCCATCATAAAAAAAAAATCAACATTTAAAACTGTACTGGTTTTGGCTGACACCTTATCTTGACCCTGGTGAAAAGTTGTAGGATGAGCCCAGAAGAAGACTGGCACAAATTCGAATGCAATCAGCTGTAACAGTCTCGGGGAGATTAAGACTGAAGGGACAGCATTAGACTGTGACAGACCAGTAAATTTACACCACGGCATACCCAGAGGATATGCTCTAGAGATTGCCAACAAAGCAGAGGTTTTCTTTCGGAACTGTTAATGCTGATTTTCAAGCATAATTCAATAAGATGGTACACATAAAATATTACATAGTATTATTTTGGAAAGTATTATATAGGAAAAACTAAAAAGGGCAAAATGTAAATTCTACCTTTTACCTGCTTTTAACGTAACTGTGTTAATGTTTAAAATATGATCAGCAAACACACACATGTCCATCCAACACACAATTCTATATCTACATGCATTTTTCAACATAAAATGGCATGCAAGGACACACTGAAAGGGAAACAAGAAAAGAAGAGAGAATGTTCAGAATGAGAATACAGTATCACCACAATGAAATGTTATATGCCTTTAAAATCTCAATTTTTAATACCTACTCTTTTTTACGGAGTTTTGGGCTGATCAGATAAGATTCTTCAAAAGAATAAACACAATTAGATCTACAAAAGTCTAGCTGGACCTCAGGTTAAACTTAATGTCAGGATGAACTACAGAGTGGGCAACTCAGAACCTACAGAAAGCAATATTTCTTAGTTCCAAATTATTGGGTGTGTCAAAACAAATCCAAAGGAACATCAACAGTAAATCAAATTAAGGAATATTTTTATCACAGAGACAAAAGTCTTTGGATGAAGAAAATCAAGTTAAATTAATTGTTTCCTTTAGCCCTGCAAAAGCAATACTAAGACAAAGTAATGTTTTCCATTCCCTTACAACACGGGGTTGCTGTCTGCTTTACTGAGAAGGGAGTGGAGATGATTCTGCTCTTAAGACAGGAAGGACATACAGTACTACGACCTCTTCATTCTTAACACCTGTCTGTAAAACTTGTGTACCTTTAAAATACTTCTGGCCGCCAGCACTTAAATTCCTGATTATTATTACTTCACCTTCTAACTCTTCTAAGTTTTATTTTTTTTCCATTCATGTTTAGAAGAATAAATCCAGAAAAAAAATGAAGAAAACATAAAAAAGCAGATATAATAAAAGTAAAGATTATACAAATCAATGACGTAACGTATATAAGTATCTAAGCAAATACGGTACATAAAGTTCTAAATAATTCTGACTATACAAGGCACAAACTTAATAGCTAATTTAAAAACTGAATACTCTCTCAAAGCTTACTGTAACCAATATTATTCACTAACATTATACACTAATGAAGAAGCATAATTGTGATTGTACACCACAATGGACACTAACCGCTATTGCTGTCTTAACTTACATAATCTTCTCTGCTTAGCTTTAATTAAGAAAATCTCATTTTCACTTTAGGAAATATAACCTAAGTTATAAGCAGCATGTGGATTTGAGGGGCAGAAACAAATCTCAGCTGCTAGTGAATGAATGAGTATGGCAAAACACTACTTTTAGACCAGAAACTTCCTTCAACAGGTTCATTGAAAATTTGTTACAATTGTTTTAAGACGTGGCTTTACAGATGTGACTCCTGAACATTGGGGATGGCACAGGGACCCGCAGACACTCTCCTCCGACATGCCTACCAGTCACAGCCATTCAACACTTCAAGCTCCACAGCCCTGGTGTGGACTGGATAAGCAGTACGTCTCTTTTCGAGATCCCTGTGGTCCTGCGGACACCTGACAAGTCGCAGGAGTCGCTGTCTCACCAAAACCCGAGAACAAAAGGGCAAACTAACGCCCCCCTACCCTGGCAACACTTATGAGAGTTCTGATTGAACCAGTGCTGTCTGAGCCCAAGGGGTTAGCCTGTACTATGCATTGTTGAACATTCTGCATTCGGCAGCCACAGGCAAATCATTTCTAACACAGATGATACAGTGCAGATATTCTGCTTATAGACCAGGTTCTGAAATAACCAGCAGAAACTAGAACATACACAGTGACAATGATAATACAATTACAGGCTACAAACTACTTGCAAAATTAGTTTTCCTTTTAATCTCTGCACAATATATTGTCATCCTTCTTTGTGTTCAAAACTGTGCAGCTCCTTGTTATCTATTTTGGAAAGTTCTTTATAATACTGTTATAATACTTGAGATAATATTTTGAGATACTTTTTTAAAAACCTCATTCAATCTGCCTAAAGCTATTTTATATTACTCCCCGTTATACTGTGAATATAAAACATAACACCTAAATATTTTGGAATCAGCTGTTTTAAGGTTGCTGAATTAAATTAGGTAGTGAAAGTGGTTTTATTACAGTATCTATCAAAACACTTGAAAAAGAGCGTAAAAGTGAAGGTTCTTATCATCACTGTTATGCACTTAGTACAAAGAGAAATTAAGGATGTCTGTGATAGTCCCTTGTTTTCAGAGGCTTGTGAAGGCCGGTGGGGAGAGTGATATTCTGTAACATGCTGCTTGTGAACAAGATTTCAGTTATCATTTCCCCTCGCAAAACACTTATGATCTAGAATTCATCTGTTTCAGGCCAGATCTCCAAACTCTTTTCCTCCTTGTACCTGAATTGGGCTAAAACCATGCTCCAAAACCATTTTAAAATCACAGAGAGTTTCTAAATGGTTATCCACATCCTTGTTGGACCTTCCCTGTGAAATCTCTTTTCAACAAGGACATTTGTCTGGTATTATAGTTTTTATTGAGTGATCAGTACCTGCTTCCCCACGCAATGCCTTCTCCACAGCTACTCCACGCTCTTCCAGCTGTCTCTGTTTCTCCTCAACTTGCTCCAGCTGCCTCTGGATTATCTGCCAAAAACAAACACACTTGCATATTAGCTGTACCCAAAAAGTTACATCCACCAGCTTCATTAATTAATGGCTGTAAAATCGACCATGGAGCTTTGAGACATGAGACATTGTGTGGCATTGTTAAAACGAATATCATATAATAAGAATAAAATAAGACCAGATATATTTACAACACAAGACAGATTCAGTGTAGAACCATTCCAAAAACAATATCCTGGATAAAATATTTACATACTGTATAAGTGGGTTTATTATTTCTCTATTAATCACGAGACATAGTATCTATTATATCACATCTATTATAGTATCAGTCTCCCTTCCTTCAAAGGTTTCTAAGTACAGAGGTTATTAACACCACAGCCACTCTCTTGCTTGACATTCACTTGACAGGAAACCCAAATATCAGACATACACAGAAATAAAGGGAAGTAATTAAATTATGGTGTAAGCAAAAAAACACAAACCATCTCAGGGACACCTCACCCATCTGGTATAACACTGGTATTGTGAAAACTATGATATCTTAAATACGTTTTAATGAGAGCCATATTTCAAATACCAACTGATATGACTGTGGATATACTGAATGCATTTGCATTGAACCTCTTATTATAGAAAAAAACATAGAAAAAGAGCTATATTTAGGAGCAGACCTCTGTGGAAGAAGTCCAAACCAGGCAACAAAGTAGGAAGCATAATTAACGTAATGTGGTCGTCTCTAACGTGCTCTCTCACCCTTCTGAGCTAAAGCAGTAAATTGAGCGAGTTCTACTTTCCTGCAGACCAAACATCCAGCAATTCAGACTTCCTCTTTACGGATTTAAATCTAACGGGTAAGTTTGAATATGTAAGAGAAAGGAAGTGAATTTAGGGAAAGGGGGATTCATTTTTATTTTAGGAGGAAGGGCTAGGCACAGCTTGTATCTCTTAGATGCATTATTATATTTATTATGGTTTGGAGACCATATGGTTTATTATTATTCATAACAAAGTGAGTTATTATTCATCATGTTTTAGTGAGCAAACTGTCTGGTGGATGGTATACAGTATTAGTTTCTCTTTTGGGTTTGTCTCCAATCGAATACATCCCAATTCAGCTGGGCCAGGAACAAAATCACCATGTGGCCTAAGTTGGAATACTGACTACAGGTATTTTACTGCGTATTTTAAATTGGTGGCAGAATTAAAACCATGTTTTTCAATTAAAAAAATACCTTCTAACTGGTAATAATTTTGAATTCCCAGCATCATCATCACACCTTTAATTATGAAAAAACACCGTGTTTTCCTGATTCAGCAGCTAGGAATAAGCTCTGAGATGGCGTATGCTGCTTCACAGAGGGAAGCAGTGAGTGAGGTAGCCAGACACGTACCTGGGCTCTGTGCAGGCGCTTGAGCTCCTCTTGCTTGGCCTGTCGCCGGGCAGCCTTCTGCACCCTCCGTGTCAGCTTGGCATTAAGCTCTTCCTCTGTGTACGCTTTCTGAAATAGCGTTTCGGAAATACTCAGATCAGCAGATTCCAACACCAATTCGCCTGCAACCTCTGTTGTACATTTTGGGACTTGTTGATCTGACATGGGTGGCCGGCTCTTAAAATTTAGCTTGGACCTCTACAAGGGAAAAACAAGACAGTACCTAAAAATTAAGCACACTGCAAATACTACCATTTGCAGCCCATGCAGAGTAATAAACGTAAAACATACACTCAACGAGCTTCAGATAAATACTCCTTCTTGATTACTAACAGACTTTTCAAATCTTCACCAAGCATGTGCAACAAAGGATGGACAAAATACTGTTTGAAGAGAAAGAGAACAGGGTGGAGTTGGTTCTGCAGTTGCAAAAAAATCCAGTTGGTAAAAACACTATTCTGCTAAATTTAGGGTAGGTGCCCTTGCTGTCTTTTGGCCATTTGCCTTCAACAAAGTAATTTCAATATAAAAGAGAATAAAAACCTAAAATACCTTATTGTTCTGTAACTGGTTCTCAAATGTAAACTGATGTGAAAAATTTCAGGGGCAAGCCTCATGGCCCCCTACAAAAACACAAACATTATATACCCCTCATTTGTTTAAATGTTCTTTCTTTTTTTCCCTTCAATACGATTCATTCCGTTTCCTGAATCTCAACATGGCATAACATACAAATAGGTAAATGTATCTTACCTATGTATACCCTGGAAGGGTGCTGGATAAATGCAGCAATTCTGGAGGGACTTGGGAACCAGTAGTAGTAAACTGTGTTGCCCCACAAATAAATGTCAGTGTACAGTTTTCCACATGGGGAGTGTTAAGTGCAGCAATTCCAGAGGGATTTGGGAATTAAGTGTTGGTAAATGTGTGGGCACAAGGGAGTTGCGCCAGTAATGTGAGCAAAGGCAGAGGCTTCTGGGCACAAGACAGAGGGAGTGACAGCAGCTGTAAGTGTGAGCCCGGGAAGAGGAGCTGGCCAACCTGGAGAACAGGAGAGCACTGAACGTCTCAGACCCCATCTGGTGAAGCAGAGCAGGGATGTCAATGACTGGAGGCGGACATGAAGTCTGAGGGCTGACTGGTAAGGAGTGAGAGCCAGCAGCCCACATGAACGATTTCCACCGAGGAGCAGGGGTAGGCTCGGGGATCGAAAGGAGATCAAGGAAGAGGAGGCTCCCTGTGAGCTGCAGTGAGCAGCAGGAGGCTCCTTGTGAGCTGCAATGAGCAGCAGGAGGCACAGAATAGACTACAGTGATGACACTGAGGGCTGTCTACAGTATGGGATTCTGAGCCTGAAAGTCTGCAAGCTCAGACTGAGTGAGCATAAGAAAACAGTAAAACACATCTCATGTCCTAGTTTCCCCGGCGAGGGGAGATTTGAGATCACCACTCTCGGAGCAGAATGTAAAAAGGGAAAATTTAGCGGCATGGTTTACCCAACACACTGTGACAGGTGTGGGAGTCACTGTGGATGTGTCTGGATCACGCTTCTCCGTGTTCAATGAAGAAACCATTAAATAATCAAATCCAAAATGGGATTAAGGACACAAAAAATGACTTAAAGGGCAAATTTAAACTTAATACTTGACAAATTTTACTTTTGGGATAAACTTTTGGGTTTTGGGTTAAATTTGGGTTGACTAAGAAGAAAACAAAAATGACTTTTGGTCTTAAGTCTCTAATGCAATTTTTCAGCTTGTTTGACTAATGCTAGGAACAAACTGTGGTGGGGAGGAATGCTTATATAAACAATTTTTATGCCTGATATTCTTTTGTTCCTTAAGTTACAAAAACACATCGTTTCTTCGAGAATGGAGTTGCTTAGATGACAAGAACTGAAAGACTTAGTAGGGGGCACACTTAATCTACAAACCTTTCCTACTGGAATTCCGACACAAAATTAGGTTTGGAATTTAAAAAGATCGTAAGCATTATATTTCTAAACAGTCCATGGCACATTAATAATAATCCCAATTCACTATATGAGAGCAAGAAAACTATAATGAACACTCAGTTTGCTAAGGATGGCTGCTGAGAATTTGGGGAAAAAAAAACTTTCACATTGAGATAAAATATATTTCAATATATGGCAACAGTATATATGAAATATTCCATCAAATACTAATTAAAAAAAATGATAAGCCATAATATCATATTGTGCTTACATCTTTCTCTTTCCTTTCATAAGTGTGCCATAAATTGTACCTTGTTAATTTGTATTAAGGTGACAAACACACTGATGTTCACATGTAAAATGGTTTTGTGTTCAAAATGGAACCATTAGGTAGCTTTAGCAAGAGGAATGTAAAAGAACAAGTTTCACTTAAATACTTAAAGCAAATTAATCTAATGTCAGTATTAATTATAACATTAAGAGCTTATCTGCAGGTCGATAGATTAACCGTTAGTGTGGTCAGACCTGGGGTGAAAACTGTTTTTTTCTGATGAGCCCTGGATGGTCTCTGAGGAATCTGTTTGAAATACCTTTCTTGGAAGCACAAATCATTTATCTTCATTCCTCAAATACTACAGCAGCACTTTTCAAAGTTTTATCTAGCAAAACACTTTACCACCTCCACAGTGAAACTCCAATAATTTCATTTTGTCAAAGGAAGCACAACCTCCCTACCTTCAATTACTCGACATTCATTTTATCATATAGTCTTTGCAGTTATAATTTGAAAATACTACCATAGCATTGTTCTCATATAGTGAGCCCCACAGCCAATAATAAATAATGAAGACAAAGGCAATAGAAAGAGACACACTGGGTTATGCTGCTTAAAGAAAAAGGAGAAAAATGAAAGTGATATTCCTTAGACCCTGTTATCCCTTTTCTGAGAGCATTGTTGTTGAAGGACAGACAGAGGTGAGTGTCTAGAAGAGATAGAAAAATTTGGACCATGAGCTTTAGAAGTTTAGAAGATCAGAGCACGTTTGTCCTTTGACATAAGATAGCAAAACCAGTACAGAGGCTCCCTCTCCAGTGAGTTTGCATGCATTTAGAAAGAATGGTTAGCCATACATGGTTAACATGTTGCGTGATGAACAGAACTGGTTAAAAATGCCGTGGTGCATGCATCATGTGTCAGCACATAGGGGATTGCACACACTACCTTTGATGTGTATGATCTCTTGAACGCCAAGGCGTGTGGAACGTAAACAGACTTTGGAAGACCAAAATACAGACATAAAGGAAACAAAAAAAGGGGGGAAACAAAACACAAACAAATGGTATGATTAAATGAGTTAATACAATGTTAAAGTAATTCCATATAGGTGGGTGCAAAAATTGAACCACAATCAAACAGAACACTCGATTTTCAAAAGAAGAGTATTATGATATACATTAGTACTCTAGTCACCCAAACAAAAGAAACCACTGGGATACAAAAGGTACTAAATTATCTAAAAAGATGCACAGGTTTTGTCAACAAGGGTCTTAAAGGGATTCTATCGTTTTTTTTTCAAAGCACAGGTCAGTAGGAACATGACAGTACTGACAGTACATTGCACCATTCAGTGCAATATTCTCTCTAATCTTGTTCAGTCCAATACCCTCAGATTTATCTGAGGATATCACTGTCAGCAAATATGGAAATGTATTAAAAGGTTTTTAAAAGGACTGAACCAACATAAATACCTAAAGGGTTGAGTCACCCTGGTTATATTTAGTAGCTCTTCAGTTTGACACATTTAACACTTACACTTTTTTAGACCATCTATACACAGGGTATATACTGTACCTAAATACAGGAATATCTAAATCCTCAAGGATGCACAGAACCAGAATGGCATAAAGCAATTAAATACCCTTAAACTTAAGTGATGGTATTTTTTCCCTTCCCTTCCTCCTGTTTCTGATTTTATTGCTGACTTCTGTCTTTAAAGACGTTACACTGCATCTGTGAGCTAATTAACTAACTATAAATATGAAAACAAAAAAAAACATAAAATAGAGCTAAATAATCTCGATATCTAGTGAGCACTGCATCATTATGTACAATAAATGGATGAGTGATGACAAGGAGCAAACTCCTTGATAGGCCTGCTTAAACTGGGGCAGGCCTATCATAAATAACAGTTGTTATTTATGTATTTTATTTACTTGCCTTATAAGCAGGTTCCGACTGCAATTTCATCAAAACTGCTTAAGGGCAAAGACCCGCTTTAAGTGACTTTTTCATTTTATGCTTCATATCAGAGGCACACACTTCCAGTCCTGGAGGTCATCAATCTAGCTGGTGTTATAGGCCTATTTATATCTCCTGCACCTAAGGAACTGTGGAGAGGTGTTAAATTGCTCATGTCAAGCCAATTATTAGAGCAGTTAGGTAGCTAATCATTCAGGAGGAATGACAACCAGCACAGAATGCGGCCTTGCTGTAAACAAAGTCTTTCCATTATTTCATCCAGATAGGGACCTCAGTAAGCATAAAACTGACCTTGTTTTCTCCTTTCATTAGTCATAGAAATGAAATGGCATTTGATTATAGTTTTAAAAGTGAAAAGTATAGTAATGAAATCGAGAGAAAAAAAATGATGAGGTCACACGGTAATCAATAAAACAAGACTGCCCAGAAATGCTAAAAGGCAAATATGTTTTAATGAGATAAAACTCCAGATTTCAAAAGTATATATATAGATACCGTAATGTCAAAAATCCTTAACAAGTCTTGTTGATAATTCAAGTTCGTGACCACTATGTAAATGAAGTAAACCATGCAGTGCTCATTATGTTTAAATGAAGAACATTAACTAAGCTAAAAATATTTGTAAAAAAAACAACCACATAACCACTTTATTTTATCTTTAGTTTACTACACAGAATATCTACAGGGTAAACTATTCACAACATTTGAATGTGACATTTGAAACAATACCATTCCACACAAGCTTGTCTGGTGTTTTCAGTAAAGAGATTTCAATATACCACTCTGGCTCTGAGCTCCTCAAATATAAAGCATGAATACTGTATCTATCCTGAGAATACAGCACATATGTCTATTCTGAAGACTAATGAGCAGTACATGAGACTTTTGGATTTCTGCTAAAAGCTCAAAATAAATTTCAGATTTTGCTTTATATTACACTGCTGGCAAAAGGATATGAACTGATAAAGAAAAACTGTTTTGGTTGCACAGAAAAGATATTCAGATCTTTCACTTCTTAGCTGTTCTTAATGAACATAGCTCAAAAGCAGTCACCTCATCTCCATTGTTATGTGATTATGGTCTTAAATGTTGCACCATTGTGTGTACATGTTGATCAATGAAATCAATAAAACTGTTTACCAAAAAATAACAAGTAATAATTATTTAAGCATTTCTTTAAAAAAAGCCAAAACTGATATTTCAATTACAATTTGGTGTCTGAATGAAATCCAAAAGAATTATTCCAGTTACTGCCCCTAACAATACCTCCTCTTTCTTCTTCTGCATGTCAGATACTAGGTCAAAGATGTCATGAATCTGCTAGAGAAACGAATAATTGAGAAGAAAAATAATGATAACATGAAGTACTTACAGGTACACGCATATCCCTAAAAGGTTTGTCAGACAAACAATTAAACATTAATGAGAACAGAACCTTAGAAAATGTAACATATATTCAGACACTGTAATAATGTCTGACCTTACCCAACTGCCTAAAATATACAAATGAATATAGAATATTACAGTTACAACAGGCTGTTAAAATGATAAAGAACACTACCACTGTTGTATACAGTGGTTACTTACCTTAAAAATATATGTTTTCATTGGGTTCTCAATTTTTTTTTCAGCCAGAAGGCAATGTACTGTTTTCTGAGGGTTTTAAAAGCAATATGTTTGTAACATTGTGATCTAAAGGTAGGATATGCCTTTAGTTGTCCATAAAAGCACACAGAGGAAATATAAAATACTGAAATGTCTCTAAATATTTTACTTATCCTGGAACAGTAATGTCTTAATGTATGATTTTAAGGGCTGAGAAGTACAATTTCCAAGTTAGGAGAAAACTTACATCAGATTTTGACTTCTGAGAAGATCTTTCCAGGACATCATCGCAAGACAGGTCCGAGTCTTCAGAGAAACTTAAATTTCTGCGGAGGTGGAGATCTGCATCATAAAAGGACAGGGAATTTTATGTAGATGGATGATGCAAACCGTGCATTTTTTAAGTGAAATTTGCAATGCTAAAAGAAATGTTTAAATCAAGAACTTGCAATCCTGCCTTCAGTTCTCACCTGCTGCCTTCGTAAGGGGTGAAACTCCCCTTTTCCCTGAATCTACGGTAGTGACACTGGAGGGGGTGCTGGGACAGGACTTATCATCCTTTTTTTTCTTGTCTTTCTTGTATCCAGAGAAGACTGTCTTCCAAAGAGACTTGTGTTTGGGAGCTTCCTCTGAGCCATGTTTGTCCGAGAGTCGACTCTCATTTTTGGGCTTCTTCTCCTTCTTGTTCTTCCGGGGAGAAAAGAGGGAAGAGCGCTTCTTGCTCTTTCCTCCTGTTGAGCCTTCAGAGGAAGCAACGGAGCCTTCATGGCTCTGCGTACCCTGCGGTGTTAAGAACCTTTCAGGCAACGTCTCAGGCTTTCGAGGTTCCATGGCCATTGCTGCAGATGTCTTCTGGGTCCTTGATGCCAGAGGAGAAATTTTGTAGCCAGAAGTCTCCACAGAAACGTTCCAAGCTACTCTAGGAGAGGCAGGCTTGGCTGTTTCCGTCTCTTTCATTTTACTGAGCTGCTTGGCCATGGCGTCTTTCAAGACCTGGCTCTTCACAGACTTCTCCCGTGCTCGCATTCGCTCCTCTGCGATCTCTTTGGCTTCTGGAGAGATAGCTGGGAGGGTTCGCTGTCGTGTTGTGCTGATGCTTCCAGAGAGGTTGGGTTTGCCATTCTCCATTGCTAAGGCTAAGTGAAGAGGAGGTTTATCTTTCTGTGGTCGGCTAGTTGGAGGGGTGTAAAATTTCTCTTGAAGGCTAACATCAGGTGACTTCTCATCATACGTATCTTCTACATCATCTGCAAATGGGATTTCGTCCACGCTCTCCACAAATGACTTCCGTACTTCATCTCGCTTTGATCTGCTCAACTCCCGGCGGGCTTCGGAGCTCACCAGCACTGGCGTGGGTGTCTGGGTTGGAGCTGGTACCACTGCTGGTACCTGCAAAGGTTTAGGACTTGGCTCAGGAACCGTATTCCAAGTGGCTTGATGCTTCTTATGCCGCAAGGTTGCAGGCTCTTCATTCTCTGGGGGTGGTGGAGGTGGGCTGGAAGGTGGTGTCAGCATGGTAGAGTCTGAGGTGTTGAAGCTCTCACTGGCTACAGTCTGAGTGTTAACCGTGCTTCCATTAAGGCCCAGGCCTGAACTGCTGCTGAAGTCTTTCTTTTCTGAATCAGAACTCTTTGGTTCCTTCTCACTTGGTGATTTCAGTACTGAGGGGGATAGCTGTTGTCCCTCTCGGGTGGTGATGTTGAACCTCCGCAGGACTGGCTGCTGTCGGCTCAGATACACCTTCTGCTCTTCTGAAAGGTCTTCTGGAGTGTAGGACCTGGGGGACAAGGAATCAGGAGTGCCTGCTGGGATGATGCTTTCTTGGGCCCTGCTTCTCTCCAGAGGACTAAGACCCAGGCTCCTTCTAATCTCGGCACTCTTAATCCAAAACTCCTCTATGAGATCAGTTTTTTTAACAGACTCATCTTCCACTTGATTGGCAAGCTTCTGGGACTCCGATGCATCAGGTTCTGGGGTAGGTTTGGTCAGAGGAGTAGAGGTAACAGCTGGTGTGGGCTGAGTTCGCACAGGAGATTCGGATGAAAGTGGTGAGGAGGCTTCAGTTGAGGGAAGAGGCTGGGAGCATATTGGAGTGAGAGGACTCCCAGCTGGAGTGGAAGGAGAAGGCTGAGTTTTTACTGGCACCTTTGGCACGATGGCTTCTGGCAGAGGAACAGGCTGAGAGCAGATAGGAAAAGCCGGGAGGGAAGGAGAGATCTTAGCCTGTGGAGTCTGAGAAACGTCTACAGCTTTGCCTTCATCTGGGATAAATGGCTCAGGGAAAAAGCGAATGTCTGTAGGTTTCTGTAGGGAAGATGCTGAAAATGATTTCTGAGCATCCTGGAAGGAAAGAAAATGATAACATTTACACTTAACAACCATCAATACCAAGTGTATGCAAGTGCATAATTACTCATTATTTAAATACATTTGTGTGTCGCTAAACAGGTAAGGATTATATCATTCTTATTATACAAGAACATTATTATTACGTATAATTTATACTTCTTATAGAAGTTCATGGCTTGCTCCAGAATTCCCTTACCTAGTTTTGTTATACTAATATATGCTGAGCCACTGGGCTATATTAGGTTATTTTAAGTAAAAGTAATGACATTATTGAAATAAGCGGGAGAAAATTAAACAAGCAAATACATTTAAAACTTCTCTTCCTTGACTAATATACCAAATGTTTACTTGGATTACTATTTTGGTGATTATGTCTAACCTAGACATGTCAAGACTGTAATAAAATAAAGCCAGATACAGCAAAACCTGTATATCTGTGTTTTAAAAAATAAATGTGAAATAAAAAAGTCTCATTCTGATTACAATATTGCAACAGCGGATCTTGTATATATATATTTTTAAATATATCACAGGTAACATTGGCTGCATTTAATCTCAAGATTAAGTAATCCATGAAAAAAGCAAGAAAAACACCTCTGATGCCTGCTCCTTTCTCCTGACAGGGGACAGTACATCATCACTGTGAGAGCGCACTGGGCTAACAGACGATTGTCCTTAAAAAGATGAAGAAAATAAAATGAAGTGATGATGATTCATTTTTACAAGTTGGGGATCACATTTTACATAAGCAATCTTATTTAAACAAAATAAGCATAGCACAAAACACAGGAAAAATCAATATTAGAAAATACATACTGGTATTTGAGAGATTTTGGAAAAGCAATTAGTGACAAAATTTATATTTTATTAGTTGCTAATCAGGACCACTTAATATATACAACGTTACGCATACAGTAAGTACTGTACTAGGGAATCAATATTGCGGATACACTAAGTCAATCCATGATAAAAAAGCTGCTTGCTCCCTGAATGGGATGCCAAGCCCTCGCAGGATGCATACACGGGTACAATCTGACACCAGTTAACCGCATCAGCAAGCATCTGAAAAGAAGGGAGGACACACCCACCCAAAGAAAACTACAGTATAACTCCACGAACTATAACAGGCACCGCAGTTCAGATTCGAACCCAGGATCAAAAAGCCGTAAGACGGCTGCTGCATTTTTCCTTTATTTCAACAACCTACCATCCAGTTAAACAGAATTAAAAAAAAAGACTATCAATGGATGGAGTAGAGTGATAACAGAAAGAAAGACAAAAGTGCAAATGAGAAGCAAAGAGCAAATTGAAAATACTGAGTAAAAATAGTAAAATGTGAGCAGTGGAATTCTACATTCTGTTATTCTACATTATTTCCTTCTAAAAATGAGGTGTTTCAAGTTAGACAGACATACGTTTGTTTTCTCACAGATTCCGCCAAAAAGTCAACTTAAAAGTCAATAAAAATAATAATATTACACATTTTAAGGGGAAATACGCCTGATTAGGCCACAAAAAAAAGATGTAAATCTTTTGGTCAGTAATGTGACTATCACCCCAAGGAGACTGATAAAGATTAAGATTTTGGAGTGCGATATACCAGTTAAAGAAAGCCTGGGGTATATAGGATATCCTATTTCTTATTTCCATACAGAACAGATTCTCTTCTGGCACTCTCAGTTACACTGATATTTTACCCAGGCTGGACACTCTTCCGTGGCATTCAGACTCTTCCCCCTCCTCCGGCCCTGTCTCCTTGCCTTCAAGTCGATGTAGCCGAGCTTCTGCCTCCGCGTCTGAGGGAATGTCATCTGTCAAAGAGCAGCCGATTCTTACTGCAAAGCATCCTGGACTGGGACTCAAAGTAGTGCACTGTAAGGCAAACGGGCCTCTTTCTGAACTCACAGCTCAGCAGTCCTGCTACCCCATGCCCTGTAAATCACTGTACTGCACAAGCATCTTTAAAGCACAGTAACTTACTTTGCTGTACAGTATTTTACCTCACCACAGTCGGCCACCAAAATGATGCATGAGGGGTAAAATATTTTAATTCTTTTTAGAGGCAAAACATTCGTATGTGCCAATGCTGCACATCTGTGATTTCACCACAGTGCTATCAACATGCTGATCACCCTGTTAGTTGGGCTCTTGAAGCTCTCTGTGCTCCACATGCTTACAGCTCTGCTATTTTCTCTTTATTTCACATTAATCTTGAACATGGTGCAGCAACAATCTTGAGAGATCTTTAAATTGGAAAGGATGGTGTCCAAAGCTGCAAAAATTGTTGGCTCCCTTCCATTTCGTATCTCTACTCAAGTCGCACCTCCAATCATGCCAAAAAAATCATTTCAGATCCCTCTGATCCATCTTAAAATCTCTTTCAGCTTCTCCCTTCTGGAAAACATTTCAAATACTTGCTCTCGAGGACTGCCCACTTCAACCTCAGTTTTTTCCCCACTGCCATACAAACTTTGAATTCACGTTGAACTCTGAATTTATAATTATGCTGTTACATGGAAAGTTGTATGTGATGATGTTGTTTGTCTTCTGTCCTATTTAAATTTGTATTGTATATGTTGAATGCACGTTTCATCTGTGTTCTTTGCTGTACTGAAGCCAATTCCACCAACTATTGTTGTGTGGCAATAAAGAATAAAGCAAAAGTAATCTTCAGAGATTTTTAGAAAAGGCTCGGAGACATCGTGTGAGTACGTAATTTGAGGCAGTGCTCCCGGTACACAAGCTCCTATTACACACCCTCATCCAGCTCGGTGCCGGGCTCCACATCAGGGCTCCCTGCTTCAGCCTCTGGGTCATCATCTTCCTCACAAGGGCCTGGACGAGGAAGAGGGGGGGAACAGTCAGCTCAACCCGTAGCACAGGGGCACCACAACAAGACCGCCGGCACATGGTGGCCTTCAAACTGACAAAATTGCTTGGAGGCAAAGCTTAGCCGAGGCTACAAGCTGCAAGGCTGAAAACACATTCCTGACACTCGAACAGACCAAGAAGCTGTACTTGTGACGCAGATTGAGAAATAAAAATAAAATATGATAAAAATATAAAAAGCATTTAGTAACACAGAAAGTGAGCATAAAGTCAAAGACAAACTAAACACAGACTGAAATAAATAATGGATAAATACAGTGAATGACAAAAAAGGGATGATTTAAATAAGCTCTCTTGAGCATTACATTTCCCATTTTAAATACAAGATGAAATCGTCACAGGAAAACACGGTTAATCAGCTTGACAAGTATTACACATACTAAAACCTACTGTTTCAACAGAAACTGTATTCATCTTTAAAAAATTCAAAAACTCATATTTGGTTTGTATAAGAATTTAAATGTGTGTGTTGGCGCATGGTATCTTTGTATGGACTGTGTCATGTAAAAGGTCATTTTAATTATAAAATAAAATGTGCACGTGTTCACGTTGTTGACTCAGTCTCTTAAAAACTAAGCTGAAATTAGGGCATTTTCTGTTCACATCTTTTTACTGTTATACTGCAAAAAATATCCTCTATAATGGAGGGTTTCCAAAAATAATTCTGTATTAGTTCTCACCATTCAAATTTGTAACATTATATTTTAATTCATGTTTAACTGACAAAACGGTGCTAGAAATGCCATGCAATAGACCATATTGCACTTCAAAATAAACTAAGGCTATAATGAAACAAAAACAAACTAATGAAAATACTAAATAATATACCAACCTCGGTACTCCATAGTATAGGATAAAAAGAAAAACACTAATATGTGCTTAAATAACATTAGTTGGTTAGGAGCATGCAAATATCCATTTATCCTGGAGAAATGGATGATACTTAAATTTATTGTGCTGTTAACTGCAGGAGTGTTAATTAAATGAGCAAATGCATGAAAGTTTTCTCCTTTTCAGGAAACATGGAAGAGTGGGTGATCCCATTGTAAGAAAAAAAAACTTTTTTCTTACTGATTTGCAAATCAGTTCTACTTCCACTTAGCTCTTTACCTGGTTTTTAAAAGTTAAAGGTGTTGAAAAGTTTAAAAAAACAACCGTGCTATGGAGACAGGAAACGCTAAACACCATGTTAAACAGCTCCAGGTCTGCAGTGTATTTAAAATTAATATCTGTTGACGTCTATGAACCCTAGATACATGAACACTGACAAAAAAAGGTTGTTAGGATGGCCAGCAGCACAGTTTTGAAGAAGCTTTCCCACAGCGTGCTTGCTCTTAACTCTGTGCTAAGCAGCGACACTGCGTCAATACTGCTCCTCCGCCACAAACCCCACCAAGCCTCACAGCTGGTTTATCACAAAGCTGGGTCAGACCAAAGCACATGGCTTAATTGCGAAACAGGACCCCTCATTCCATGACGGTACCTCTAAAATGAAAATTGGTGAACCACAAAAAAGGGCATCCCCAAAAAAAACACAATTACTGTTCATTGTGTTCATTAGAGTGTCTCGAAATATTGAACAGTAGTCTAAAAACTAGATTAATAGATTAAAAGTCTAACAGAAGTTTAGTATTTGCATAATTGATTAATTTATTAAGATGAAGCTTAATACATAATTTAGATATTTTACATAATTTAGAAAGGAACAGGTTTTCTTGCAATGTGTCTCAGATTGAAGTGAGATTTAGAGGTTGTTGCCAATTATATTTTGCCAAGAGCCAAAGCAATATAATTATTTATATTTATATATAAAATATAATTCTTAATGCCAAAGCAGTGACATTAGGTATGTTATGTTTATATTGGCTTATTTTCAAGGACGCATTGCTTAAAAAATATATTAGAAATACAAAAATATTTCCCAAAGGCAGAGAAGGACATAATCCTTTCCTTTTAAAATGACACCTCAGGTGCAAAACTGTTTATTCTTTTAGGAACTGAGAAAACTATTATATATACATTTTATATATACAATATTTATATATATATAAAATATCTAGAATACTGTGGTAAACTTCTGATACATGACCTTTTGCCAGTTCCATGCTAATCTGCTTGATGGTTAGGTTTTGCTGTAGTACTACTTAGTGTGCTGAAGTGACACACTGGCACAGTAAATACTATATACAGTAAATACAATTATAGCTAAGAAACATAATGAATACTGTATGAGGGGGGTGTTTGGTCTGACCCTTGAAAGTTACATTTATATATATAAATCGATGCCATGCAGTTTGAATGCTGCATAGCGTGGCATGCTCTTATCTCTGTGCTGCCATGCACTAACAAAAGGCAAAATGAAAACAAAACAGAGGCAAAACTCTGCGCTGCGAACAGTTCACACAGTGCTACCTCCGGACATCGTCTCCAGCCAGGCTCGCACTGCGTCTTGGCGGTTTGATGGAGTGTCGAGTGCTGAATTTAAAGAAAACCAAAACAATAAAAACAGAAAATAAACAATGGGCCAAGGGAGTTCGCAAAACAAAACGATGGCCTGAAACCAAAATGAAAGGGATATGTACAAAGAAACTTGGGTGAAATTAAAAGACCCTTATGCAAGGTGTCTTTTTTTTTTTCCTTCTGGGCCAACCAGAAAAAAAGTCTCCTGGTGGTATTCTTGAATCAGCCCTTCCAATGACAGCCACACTGTTACCATGGAACACCATTTCCTTCTCCCTCGTTCCTTTTGTCCTCCGGACAATTTGCTCATTTGCAAAGACACACGGCACAAATGCTGACGCAAAATAACTGCTCAGACCATGGTGAACAGAAACGAAAACATGAATAAAGAAGCAGTTAGTTTTGGATGCATGGGGGAGCACAGTTTTAATGACGACATTCGGCATCGCTCTAACACGCTAGAGACATAAATTTTCATGGCAGATGACCATGAATCTGAGGTGCTCGGTTGCCTTGGACACCTGGACGGTTACCTGTGGAACGGGAGGGCTGGGAGGCTGAAGTCCCCTCCCTGTCCCCCTCAGACCGAATGTGTGTCCAGTGCACGTCTGCCTGAATCTCCAAGGGGTCTACAGGCTGTAGTATTTGCTGGATGCGGAGATTCCTGGCTGATTGGAGGTCATTGTTTTAAGGTGTTTTATGGTTTTGTGGTCGTTGTTTGACAAGAGGAGAAAGACAGCCACATGGCCACCCCCCAGAGAGAGCAGAGTTTCAGAAAAATGAAAATATGAGGCAGGACAGAATGGAGAAAGAAGGGAGAGAAAAGCAAGGAAGAGGTTAAAGTACCAGCCTAAACAACTGAAATAAAAAGTCATTTCATCATACATAAGAAGGGAGCCATCATATTTCCCCAGAACTCAAGTGTCTGTGCTTAGAACCACTATGATCTGCTGACAGGCAGTTGAACTGATTTTAGTGATTATAGTGAACCAAATTATTGGAAAAAAAACACATTATTGCTAAATAACAATCCCATCCATACATGAAACAATAAGATCTATTGTGCTCTAAGCTTGCATTAGAAACCATCCAATACGTCAATAGCGATTTTGGTACTGTACAAGTTGTAATTATATTTGACTTTTAAGGCTTATTTACCTTTTCACGATTGTCGTAAAACTATATAACGAACACCAACTTACAGTACATATCTTAAACTTTTTCTACTGTATAGTACTTTACATTTTGCATTAAAGAACTGCCAATGTCAGAGGCATGATCTTGTAGTCAAAAGTCTATTAAAAGCTACTCAAAAGTGCAATGACAAAAAAAATATAACTCAAATGTTTTTCGGAAAAAAAATAGACTGATTTTGAAGTAAAGTTATAGAGGCACAATTTTCATATATGGAGGGAGCACTATTATCTTCTATTACAAAAGAAAATAAATTGCAAGAAAAATGTCAAATACAGAGCTAGAAACATGCAGACTATTTCAAATTAGTAGGTTCTAATATTTATCTCATAATAGCACTGAAAGCATAACAAAACAGTATCCTGTGTACAATTCTGGGCTTACCCAATCATGTGGCTGATATTGGACCAGGTAGACTTTCACCAAGACTCTGGTTATTATAAGAACGATTGGTACTGTCATATTTGGAGGGATTGTTATGTTTTACATAACAACAGAAGACCCTTTCATAAAAAAATGTAAGATTTTAGCAAATTTGAAAAAACATTAAACAGAGATCTACCTTCCTTCTAATCATGACTGTCAGTGTCAATAATTCAGCTGACCTTTTGTCAGAGAAAAATATGTCTCTTTACATCCATATATCTCTTCATATTGGATTTGACATGTACAAAACATGCCAGACAAGTCTGAATGAAGTTATTTTAACTTACTTAGAAGACAGGAGAAAAATGTGCCGTTGAAGTTACAAAAACAAGAACACTAGCTTTCTTTTTGTAATTTTCTATTTATAACTTCCTATTTATAATGTTATCCTACAACCGTCAGTTCTGAAGTCATTCACAATGACTCATTCATCTTAAACTGCTGCTAAAATGTTTCAATACAAGCTCAATTGCCTTTGGAATCACTTTACATTTCAAAATGTGAAAAGCATGCTTCATCATTTGCTTCAGACACAAATTAGATGGTTAGTACTAAATCTACGCAATTCAAACTAAGGCTGTGCTACGCACCAAATCATTTCTGTAACATCTCATCATTGCTCACAGAGATGATCGCCAGACCATACTGATTTTTGCTTGGTTTGGTATTCCTGTGTCAAGATTGTGCTTTTGTCTGAGGCAGAGCCTCTTCAATCTGTTCTTTTCCATAATAAATAAAAAAGAACAGGACTATCTCTAACAAATGTGTAACTTAGCAGTTAAACTTTTATAGAGTTTGACATCTTTTAAGTCATCTAAGTAGTACAACTATACAATAATAAAGGATACCAATACAATTTCAGTAACTTGGCATAATTTAAGCAGTTTCATTGAGACCATTTCTGGTGATTTTACACAAGAATCCACATATATTTCTAAAGAAATAGCTTTTTACATTTTCTCTAAATCAAAAGATTGAAAATGTCTTTTGAAAATCAGTACTGCAGAAATAAGCTTAGCCACTGCCCCCACCTTAATAAAACTGTTAGCATACCACTCCTTCAAGTCGCAGTACTTTACTCATACCTTTTTCTTACCTAAAACACAAGAGTGTTTACCTTTGTCATGACACTAACTGTCTTCATTGTTTTTTTTCTTAATTCAGATGCATAGCCTCTCAAAAATCAGAACATCTGCATTTTGAAAAGGGAGCAAGCTAAAACCTTTAGACACAATTTCATCGGACTTAATAGAATTGATCGGTTTCATCTGTTTTCATTTAAAAAATATTTGTTGGCCTGTCAGACAATTTAAATATGCTCCTAACATCACCTTTAAAGGGGAACTGCAGTCTCAATTTCTTACACTGTTTTTTGTAAATCTTGGTCACAAAATAAATTGACAATTGTCAAATGTAAAATTAAGCACAAAATTGACTTGAAAAAGTACTGTAAATCGCCATGTTGTCATATACCCATGTTCTCGCCCCAGGCAACAGCAACAGTTCCCATGAATTGGGACGTGATGCGGCCCTTGCTGCTCGCTAGTCACTGTAATGACTAATGCAATATGATGTACGAGCAAATAAGTACAGGATGTGCAGCAGATATTTCACCTCAGAAATATCCCAACATGATCTGCACGCAGAGTTAAAAATAAGTAGCATTTGTTGGCAAAACCGTCTCGAAGTCGACAGCAATATTTCTATTGGATAAAAAGAGATGTATTCGCAAGCCTGCTTGTTCACCATGGAAGAAGGCCGCTCCACATCACCGGACGTTTTCTTTACCTCGTTCTGAATCATAGAATATAATGCTGTGCACACCTGGAAATTGTATCCATGTTGTGAAATTTAAAGGTTTTACAAATTGCTGTGTACATTTTAATTTTACTGTGGTTTGAAATGCACTCATCGATGCCAACTGTTTCTAAGCCTGAAATATTAAAAAAAGCATTGCAGTTCCCCTTTAAATCAAGGTGGCAGCTTCAAATTCATCATAACATATTCACTCGTTCAAAACTGGCGATGTTAATACTTTGCAACCAAAACAAAATAAATGAAAATGGCTAGTCGTTAAAGGTGCCTTCACACATGGCAGGAGCGACTGAATTAAAAATGAAACAGATCCACAGGCAAAGGTACCTTTAAACGTACCCGTGTCCTCTTCATCTTTGAGGTTCTCAAGCCACAGCCCTAACTGGAGTTCCCTGTCCCAGGGGCAGTACTCCCCCTCTGCCAGCAGGGGGAGACATCACCCCAATAAAAACCCACAGACAGAAGAGGGAGGTGAGTGTGCAGCACAGACATGACGGGAGGCAAGGAGGGAAACAGCAAGGAGAAAGACAAGAAGGTGTGAAAACAATGTTACTACAAGTGGACCTCCTAATCTTTTGCATGGCTGTCAAAAGATTACCAGAAACCAAAGTTTCACAAAAGATGGTATAGTAAGTAGATAAGGGGGGGAGCTTTTTATCTCTAAACAAATCCTTTTTGTGGAGTGAAAGCATGTTTTTGAATCATTCATTACGTGCTATGTAAGGGCAGCGGGTACAAAACTATGACTTGTGCCTGGGCATGCTTTCAGCAGCAATAGTTCCCTTGCGATCTTTGGGAACAAATATTTAGTTCCATTTAACTCCAGTTTCCATTTAGTTGCACTGTCTTTACTCTGACCCCATCCTTCCCCCATTAATGCTTCTTCCTACATTTGAAATGCAGGTCAGGTTCCAAGGGGGAAAGGCAGGGAGTGTAAATGCGATGTAGAAATCAGGCCATAGATCACAGAAAACATATCAAAGACACACTTATTGTATTGTATATTCCCGGTGTCTAATTCGTTATTCAAATCACTTTTGCTTATGGAAACAGTGACCAAGTGACCTTTCAGGGGAACAGCAAATACCCTAGTTCTGATACAAACTAGAAAGTGAGTAAATGGAGGGAGAATTTACAGAATGAAAACACGTACACTATGAAAAGATTCATGACCAACGTGAAGAAACATTAAGAACAGCTGCATGTGGGTCAAATGAAAAAGCCTATTTAGAGAACTCTGTACACAGAAAAGGCAGCACTTTAAGGTTAAAATGTTGCTGTCACTTCCATCAAATGTTTTTGACAAAGGGCAGTCAAACCCCATCACTAGATTTCACATTCAAGACACACAAGCAAAATGAAAAATTCATACAATTAACCTTGGTATGGGCAAATAGTATGAAAATCATATTTAAGGTTAATTCTTGCTATTGCTATGAGTTTTCTGTTTTATTTTTTTAATCGTGTATGTCCAGGAAATGACCATATTTATTGCTCCTAAGACAATCGGCATTACTCTGGAGCAATTCTATAATAGAGTATTTAAGGATGTTTCAACCCATATAAAAACACAGAGACAGCAACACAAACCTCTTTACATAAGAAGAAAATGTCACACTGTGAGTGAACATCCCTTCAAGCTATGACAAAAGAGTCATGGGATTCGGTCACTACCAAAATGTACTTCAAAAGCAAACCTCTGATTAACATATATATACACAGGATTACAACTTTTAATTTAAGCCTTTGGACAAACACTGAAAGGTCATAAACATACATATCCAAGCTTTGAATCACAGCAGTGATAAAAGGTTTACATTTTTTTTTGTTTACCTTCACTAGATTCCTCCTCCTCCTCTTCATCTTCTTCCTCCTCCTCCTCTCTGCCGGCCTGAGCCTGTGGGTCTCCTGTCACTTCTGTCTCCACTTTACCCTTTAGACGGGCATGGAGCCTCACAGCCTCTCGCCACGGCACCCCGCCCAGGTCTGAAGCAGGGTTATCTTCGTCTTCCTCTTCCATCTCTGACTCTGAGCTACTGTTGAAAAGAACATTGAGAGAGTGAAACCCTTAGCCCTGACCCCCGAGAAGAAAAACCTCCAGCTTCCCCAGAGATGCATTTAGAGACCACTGTCATTGTTGACCACATATATGACCACTAGTGGCCACCAGAGATTACAGCCATACCTCACACACAATAGCTTCCAGCATGGTAGCATCGCTACTAATTACAATGTGAATGTGCACAAAGGTTGGTCTTTGTGAGGGTGTAAGGGTTACAGTGCAAGAGCCAGTTAGTAGAATAGACCAAGGCTGGTAGTAGTAGCAGGAACGCAGGTGAAAGAGGTGGTGGTCAGTGTCTCAGTGCAATCTCAGGTTTAGAGTTTATTTAGCGGATGTCCTTTGTTTCTATTACAATCAGCTAATAAAAACAGGGATCTTCTGGACCTATAATTTCCATCTTATAGGAGGGTGTGGCCGGCCGCTGAAGAATTCTATTATTTGTCAATAGAAACAGAGGGTGATCAGAAACTAATGGTGCATCAATTCGCTCTGTAATATGGGGGCAGAATTAGTCATGTTTGGGAATAGACAGGGTTTCCACATTGTTAAGTTTATGGTTGGGTTGGGAGTTTGATAGACTGGGGACAATGCTGAAGAATTCCTCTTGGTGTATAACATGCAACATAAATAATACAGGCTGCACAGTCCAGCGCTGCCGTCACTGATTTTGAACGTGTTCTGATCCCTGGAGCCACATTAGTCATGGGTGGAGAGTCAGCTTCACTTTCAGAAGCGGGGTCTTCCACATGACACAACAAGGACAGCTTTTGCAGGAACAGTGGTAGGTAAAAAAGATCTATCCTGCTGAGGTAGACGTAAAATACAGCACATGCCATCTGAATTTTGTCTTGTATCCCTAGCCTGTTATATATTTTCGTGTGTTACTCCTCTTTAATTTATTACTCAATTTCCTACAGTAGCTTCAGAAATCCTGCTGCGGTAGTAACTGCCCCTTGGGTCAGGATTGGGACTAATTTACCAATTCAAAGAACAGAAAATGCATTAAATTTAAATCCATTATTTACTAATTCCCCACCATCCCTCAAGGATGATTTTTTATGGCTTTTCTAAGACCATTTTCCTGACATTATAAAATATAGCAAGTTATCCTAAGGAAGGACTGTCTTTACCTTAGTGCTGCCACTAGATGCCATCAAAACACAGCCTGTAGTCAGGGTGTCACTGTTCAATGGATTGCAATGAGCACATTGACACATGTTTTGTCGATAACCTCTTGGACATTAATTTCCATTTTGGTTTGAAGTGTTCTTTTTTTTGTGCAAAAGTTCCCTGATCAATGCACCTAAATCTGCCATTACACCTAACAGCCAATATCCTGTTCAAGTGGGATCTGTTTGCTACACATTTTAAAATGAAGCACTGAGTGTAAATTTGGTTTGGCTGGTAACTTTGGTTAGCTTTGGTGTAAGGCAAAGTAGCCTACTATAAGATCTGTTATTATTAATATAATTGACATTAGCTTTCACATGTGTTATTCTGGAACATTAACGTCAAGACCTGGAGACACAGGCTCTGATTTTCCAAAACGGCAAATAAATAAGTTAGGGCTTCAAAATTAAAAGTATAATTGATAACGTGGAATGTCAATCAGGACTTGAAGAGATATACTTATATATAGGTCATAAATGAAAGGTAACTGAGTAAACGTACTCACCAGTAAACCTTCTCAAGGAAGAAACCAACACTCACTAGGTGAACTGTTAACCATGAGAGTGTATGTAGAGTGCTGCTCGCACAAAGACCTCACCTTGAGCCTTCCTCTATGTCAGTGGCCTTGTCGAGCACGCTGCTCAGATTGTGCTCAGCTAGCGTCTCTTCGGGCACCTCCTCCAGCTCCTCTTCGCGCTGAAGGGACAGCCGGTAGTTCTCCAGCTCAATGCGCTCTGGAGTACCACGCAGTCTCTTGGCCAGGCTGGGCTCCTCGACCCCGTTGACTTCAGCCACTGCAGACGACACGCACACACGGATAAAAAAAAACACAGGAAAAACTGAGGCTTAAAGCACAACACAGGCCCCTCAGAAGAAGAAAAAAGGCCATGCTGGTTCTTACCAAGGCTGAAGATGAAAATAACTCCTCATTCCTCAACAATGCCACCCGTCTCAATACTTTTTAGCTGTCTTATTTACAAAACCATACCAGGACACACACTAATGGCAATTATAATGGCTTACACTTAAAACAGCGTGTATTTGCTTCATAAGCTTTCATAAGTACTGTCATAACTCCTGTCTTTTCAAGATTTGACTTGAATTAAGAAGGGCTTTTAAAACCACTGAACCACTGAATGTCCCGACTAAACGCCAGTGCACATGAGCATTCAACGCTAACTCTTTAGTATTGCATTGCCTGGCTTTCCACAAATTAAGTGCTTGAAAAAACCTTATTTACTAGTAAATTATGCAGAACACATGTACAGTGAACTTAAATAATCTAATCTCAGTAATGAATAATTGAGCACACTATCTTTTTTCATGGTTGCTAAGCCATGAGTGAGTCATTTCTATAACAATCTTTGAAAGACACACAAATATTTCAGTTGCACTCTAATAGGATGCAGCTCTGCTGAGTGAAAGTATTTCTTCATGATGAATTTGGCGTTGTCATCACAAAAATATTGAAATTTATTTTTCCAAATAAAATGTTTTTTACAGAATTGGGTTGTGATGGTTGTGTAGCAGTGAAAAGTACCCTTTAAAACGAAACAATATAATCTTTACGGGAAATGCTCTCCTTCTATACTTTCTTGACTATGAAAATGAGGTCAGACACACTCTGAACCAGTTGCTGAAAGCAAGCATAGAACACCATGATTTGGGAAAATCCCTAGTAAAGACAGGTACTACAGAAGATATATTATGTCCATATTTAATCAGTAACAAAAGATAGTTGCCTTCTACTGTGTAATCATGAACAAAATGCTTGTAGCAATAAACTTTTGTTTCAGAAAATGAGTTTTCATTCCAACCAATGAAAGTGTGTGAAAGGTAGTGAACCAGTCTGATTTATCAAGAAAAAACATCCTCCATAAAAAGTCTTTCAGCTTTCACAGTGAGATTTAACATCAGCATAAACTGTGTATACTCATTTCCTACCACTTTTAGATATGTCTGACTTTCTATTACATTTAAAGTACAGTGTGAATTAATTTTATTGTCGCACCTATGAATGTAATTATGCTTCATGAAGACATGAAACTTCATGAAGTTCTAAAACTAGAATCTCACTCATTTTCACACCTAAACCAAGTCCATTCCTCCACATGAAAATCACAAAGCTGTTTTAATCGACTTTGGATTGTTGTTTAAAATCCATATATCAATGAAAGCCCTTAGTTTTATAACTGACAGAAGACATAACTGAAAACTACATGGAAGTGCATTTGAAATTGATCATAGGAGGCCAAAGCTATTTGTTTGATGCCGACTCTTGAAGACTCTTCTTGATACCGGCTTCCTTCAAGAACTGGCCATGAGATCCTTGGATGAATAAGATACCAACTTTCAGATAGGCTAGATGGACCAAGTGACCTCCTGTCATTCATAACCCATTTTTTGTTTTATGTTCTTATGAAGAGTAGATTAATACAATAGGAAACAATAAAATCAAATCCTGACTTCCAATTTTATTCTCAAATTCTGCAAACGCAAGCTGATTTGTTGTTTTCCTTTCTGCAATTAAAGCTTTGGGAAGTTCAAAGCAGCTCATCGGGATAATGAAAGTACTGCCTCCACAAAGAAAACTGAATAATTCCAGCGTTCAATGATCACTGTTATTTGAAAACTATGAGGTGCTTATGAAAAGAGAACAGTGAGTGACAGTATATCGGTCTGTAGTAAATTAAGCATACTATACTAATTATTTCATGTACACTAAACCTGCATTCTCATTCAGAGCTCCTCAGCATCACAGTGTGTTTAGGGCAGAAGTGTCAAAGTTACACTAGTGGTACTTAAATGCAACTCTTGGTTGCTGAATTACTGCAGGTTTTACATATACGTGTTAACTCAGACCTCCTAAAAACCTGGATGTGTCAAATTTCAGCAGAACATATCTAATGGAGAAAGAACCTGATAGCCTCATGCCTCATCTGGTGTCCCCCAGGGCTCAATACTGGGCCCCTTGCTCTTCAGCATTTACATGTTCCCACTTGGTCAGCTTTTAAGATCACATGGCCTCAGCTTTCATTTTTACGCTGACGATACTCAAATATACATCCATACCAAACCCGACACTGACGTGGCTGTCTCTATTCTATCTAACTGCATCTCTGACATAAAAATTTGGATGACTCAAAACTTCCTTCATCTTAACTGTGACAAGACTGAGGTCATGCTTATTGGTACCCCCCATCAACTTCGTAAAGCCAGTCCTGTAACCCTGTCTGTAGATGGCTCTGTACTAGAGCTTCAATCAAAATTGAAAAACCTTGGGGTTATATTCGATTCTGGCTTAACATTCGACCCACATGTACAGCATACTGTCAAAACATCTTTTTTTCACCTTAGAAATATCACAAGACTACGCCCTATGCTATCATTAACTGTGGCTGAAAAGCTGATCAACATATTTGTATTCTCCCGAATTGACTACTGCAATGCTCTGCTCCCTGGTGTATCTAAATCTACTCTGAACAAGCTGCAGTATGTCCAAAATTCAGCAGCCAGAATCCTGACCAGGTCTAGTACAAGTGTTCACATTACTCCTATCCTCGAGTCCTTGCACTGGCTTCCGGTCAAATTCCGCGTAGACTTTAAAATCCTCATGCTCACCTACAAGGCTTTACATGGCTTGGCACCTCAATACCTGTCTGAACTTTTATCGCCCTACTCCCCACCTCGCAACCTCCGCTCTTCAAATTCTGCTCTCCTTACTGTCCCACAAGCCCGTCTACATTGTATGGGCGACAGGGCCTTCTCCTGCTATGCCCCCAAGCTCTGGAACTCTTTGCCCAAGGATATTAGAGAGTCACCTTCTCTAAACTCCTTCAAATCCAGACTCAAAACCTTCTTCTTCAGAAAAGCCTTTACTTAACTGGTTCCATTCTTCACCCCTCTGCTCTTCTTAATACCATCTTCCACGGTCTCCTCTATCTTTATTGTTGTATTGTTGTAATTATAATTGTGTCCTGTCTTGTGAAATTTTCTTATTTATTGTTTAGTCTTCTTATTTATTGTTATTGTCATCCTGTAAAGCGCTTTGAGAAGCCACCTTTATATAAAATATATATAAAATAAAGTTTATTATAAAATATATTTTATTATATAAAATAATATATAAAATAAAGCGCTATATAAAATAAAGTTTATTATTATTATTATTATCATGCCAATGTGGATTTGGAAACTCCTGCACTACCCCTTATCCTCTGAAGGTCTCCACAGTAGCTGCTACAACACAGCTCTAGGCCAGTAATTAAGTCAGCCATTTTCTGAGAAAAATAAATTAAACTTTACAAAAAGAGCATTAACAAACAAACATAAACAGAAACCACACCACATACATCTCCTTACATTTATTTGAACATAAAATTTAGTGCAGTAATACCATTTTTTCCAACAAGTCACAAAAATGAGTCAAAAAAAGTTTAAATGCAATTTTCAAAACATAAATATACACAAAGAAACTTTGGTAACTTGCCCTTTTCCCATCCTAGGAGGCAACTCCATCAAAAAACTCATCATCTGCCTCTAGGCTCAAATTAAATTATTCTATTTATCTCCAAACCTGTGGCCACACTTTTAATACTGATATTAATAATTATTTATACTTTCTGATCATTTGATTACTAAAACTCATTTGTTGTCACTTAATTTTGTGTTTTCGGGATTTGGTCATTTAATATACTGTAATACAGCTTCCGCTGGGAAACTTTTCTCTGCTGACTGAACTTTCTCTAAAGAAACTGGTGCGTCATAAAACGTGCAAAGAGGAAAAAGTGGCCACGTCTCGCATGTGGGTTTCTTTTAACAAGACTGTTTTTTTCCTGATTTTTATAGGCTGTTAATAGTTATTGCACATGTGAACAGAACTCAGTGGTGCAGCAATGCCTTTAAAGTAAGTAGAACTAGACATTAAAGATGAAACTGTACCATACTATAAAATCTTGAAACTGATTAATAAAAACAAACGTGTGCTTCAAATTCATGTGTTACTTCACTGAATTAACACTAATGTCTAAAACCTTGTTTTTGTAATACTGGACATACTCTGTCAGTCATGTGCCAAGCTCGCATGCAGTGCTGTACACCAAATCCCAACAGTAAGGAGAAACACTGTAGCCCTTCCATTCACTAAAGAACATGCCATCATGCACTGTCAACATTCCAGGGATATAAAGATTCATCAGAAAAAAGAACCCTTTGAAAGATGACCCACCTGAATGTTTACTTTTAGCACAAGTTAAAATTGCTTGTAAAAATTATTCAAAAGGCCCTTGTTCAGATTCTTTGCTCTGGACTGAAGTTTGCGTTCATGTATAATTCCAGACAAAAAGGAAAAAAGACCTTTTAAAACATTACAGTATTTCTGCTCCTTATCAGCTTTGGGGAACTGCTTGCGAAATAAAGCTTAACAACTACAAAATAAGACTGCACTAATTAAAATAAAAAACATTAGTAAAGTTCCTAACCTTTACCCCTGTTCTCTAGAAACCACTTGGAACCTTTGAATTATTGCATGGACACAACATAAATAAATAAATCATATACCCCAGAGAATGTTTGATCCATTTATGCAACTTTAAAACTTTCCTCTACAGGTCCTGATAAACCACTTAAAAGTGGCCTGAAATACCCTACATGTCTGCTTCATTGAACTGTGTTAAGTACCTCATCCACATGCTTACATGCTTTCATGCTTTGACTCAAGTTGTACAGGTTCCTCAATTAGTAACTCTTAGAAAAGGTTAGTGTGCAGAGAGTTAGTTGACTGCAGCAACACTTTGGAGGGACACCTCATGTAGGCACCAGCGTTCATTACAGACCTGCTCTGATAGGAGTGGGAAAGGTAAAGCTCACAGAGGAATAGCAAGCAGCAACAAAGTTTACAATCAATACAACAGCTGGCTTCTTCATACACAATCTCAGGTATGGCAAAGCAGAGCTACTGGAGAACTGGATTCTAGATTTTATCTGCCCAAATTCAAAGAATTGGGATTGAAGTTAATACATATTACAATGCTCATAGTCAGCAAGGGAAAAGATACTGGAGATGTTATGATTGGAATTTATGAAGACCATTTGGATTTTCCAACCCAGAAAACCATTTGGTTTAAGTAAGGCTCAGGCTTTGTCATGTCTGTGTCTCCTTTTGTTTTTCATCTGAGAAAGATCTTGGCGAAGATGAAGATGCACCATTTTAATGAATTCCACCTGTTATGTCATTTACAGTGACTGTTGTGAAAATATGCAAGTTCCAGTACCACAACACTCATTCTTGGCCCTTTGAATTGACATTGAATTTAATTGGCATAATTCTGTTTGTCTAGGGTTGCAAGGAATTTCAAGTTAACTATAAAGTTTAGAAAGGGTGTCAAACCAGGAGTGAGTAAACTCTCCATATTTAAAGCATGTTTCAGAGGCTGCAGTTTTCAAATCTGATTGCGCTACGATCTCAAGGGTAAACCAAGGCACCTGTATCTTCCAATCAGTTTTGAGGGAAGACCAAATGCTGCATCTCCAGGAAAAATCTCACAACAGCACAAATCACAAGAATTACCACATGGTAGCAAGGCAGCAAGACGAGAGGATGCCCAGAGAAAAAAAAATATTTTACACATTTACAAAAGTAGTTAGTTTACACAGTAAACAGACATTTTAAAAACAAAAACTGAAAGAAACATTAATTATAAAACAAGAAACATTCTTTAAAAAAAAAACTAAGAACGAGCAACGACAGAACTAACTAAAAACAGTCACTTCAAAAAGCCGTACTTTTGAATGGGCACTGTAGCCAAGTCTTTCCCCCCAGGGCCAACAGCTACATTTCGCAGGCTATCTGCCCCACCACACCAGACTGGGCATAGAGGAAGGGAACCCCAAAGCTGATGAGCTGGCACAGGAAGAGAGAATCTAGAGGGTTGTGCACCACCTGGTGGCAAGTCCAAGACACTGCTCCAAGGACCGAGCGGCTCATGCAGCACATGGACAGGCGCGCCATCTGGCCTAGATAGGAAAACGGGATACCTGAGGGTCTTTCGGCAGGGGCCACAGTTGCCTTCGCCCGGCCTGGGCCTTCTGCCGTGGCTCTTTCGGGCAGGGCAGCTTTGTTCTCCTGTGGAGGAAACAGACTTTAGCTTTTGACCAGTCAAAAAATGAAAAATGTTTCATCTTCCATTTTAAATAGATTTGAGAAATGGTTAAAACAACTATGAATTATACAAGATATAATTTATTTTAAAAGATTAACTGGTAACAGTATATGCACGTGAAACCAAAGAGAATGTTAATTTTGTATTTATTATTTAGCTTATGTGAAACAAAAGTAACCCTCAGCACTCACAAAACAGATGTGTGGCTGTAGCTGTGGGAAAAAAACAACGTAAGACAAGAATTACAATACAATTTAAAAAGAGGTGTGACCACAGGTCCGTTTGTGTTCCCCCGTTGCAATGCCCTAACAACAAGGAAACCTCCGTATCGAAATTAAAAATTGCAGTTTGCCAGTTTTACATAGCAATTAATCTGCAATCTGCGGTAATTGTAAACTAAATTAAGTGATTTTTTTACGGCCTGCAAGTTTGCAAAACAAACAGGATCCAATATATAAACCAATCAAGGGATGTAAAAAGTACTGAAAATCTGTGACAGCTTTCAGCAGCTAAAAAAATAAATCTACTCTCCGAAACTGGACAGGTTTCTGAAATTGGCAAGAAAATCTAAAACGGTCTGAATTATTCGCAGAAAAACTGTTAAGGAACGCTACAAATATATTCTAAACCACGGATACCGGGAATTCACAGATGACAACACTGTGTATTTTTATGATGCACAGTTTGATCATGAACAAGAAACGGCAAACAAAACTCACCCCCACCCCTTAAAATAAAGCACGAGTGCAAGGCTGTACCTTGGCAGTGAGCGAAGCAGGGGGGGCAGGCCTCTTCCTCTGGGTGTACCCCGACAGGCGGTAGCAGTAATGAGGCTTGCAGTAGAACTTTCCTGCAAGACAGCACAGAACACTCAGGACACACTGTGCCAGCCATTCCTCTCATGTGCATTTTCCCCCCATTTGTCCTAATATTTAGGATCACATTTATATCATTGGCACTTCGCAAAACAAAAAAATCAATCACAAGAGAAATCCACTGAAGTACATCTTTAAACCATTCCAGATGACAGCGTTTGCCTCATTCTGGAGTTGAGTTTAATACACAGCCCCTCTAATATGTAGATGAAGCTATATTTTTTTATGCAGAATTTGGGAAATAGAACTCTCGTGGCTCATCTTTTTCTTTCTGATTCCCCTCAGGGCTGTCTGGTTCATCACTTTTCCTCAACCTGCAACCAATGGGCCGTCTGTGAGAAAATGTTGACTATATAACTTGCAACAATACAGCATTTGTAATGCAAACAAAGAGAGCTCCTGACACTGAGGGGAAAAAAGGCTCGCCTGATCAGAGCAAAAGAAACTGGAATGTAAGAAAGCAGTTAACTCTTAAGCAGCCGACCACCAGAATTAAATGGACTGAAACAATTGATTAGATTTGACTTTACCTCTTGGCTTTCAAAAAATAGTTTTTACTTTGTAGAATTATGTGCAATGATTCACAAAAGCTTACATTTCAGTTCAGCACTCTGTTCTTGTGATGTCCAGGCACAGAGACACAAATTTTATCATTTGTTATTATTGGCACCATTACTGATAATGCTTCTCAAAACTTCTTGAAACAAGTATATTGATCTGCTTTTCTCAGATACAGTACATAAAAAAACTCAACTGCACAGCTTCTAAAATGTTCCTCTTCCATGTTCTTCTGAAATAACTGAAGCCCTCCTCCTGGGCACAGCTGGCTCATATTTTCCTGTTGTGTGCTGCCAAAACTGCTCAGTATTGAGTGGACTTGTATACTTGTTAAGGCAAGGAAATGAGCAACTAATCCCTTTGCCAAAACACAAAGAAAGAAGGTACTGGTCAATTTCAATAAACTACAGTGACTGAGAAGAATCTCTCAATACCATGACACTGGACTAAAATCTGTAAAGGAACGTAACAGCTTGTATTTCCAGGAAAGAAAGAAGGCAGCTCCTCTCTGTTTTTGAAAAATACTGTTAAGAACATAAGCAAGGTTACAAACTCGCCAAAATAATGGCTTCAACCACATGGCTGGGTAGTCAGTTCCATATTCTCACGAACCTTTGTGTAAAGAAGTGCCTTCTATTCTTAATTTTAAATGTACAGTAGTTTTCACTTGTGTCCTATGGTTCAAGCTTCACTGCTCTTTTTGAAGAAGTCCGGTATGTTGCCTTTGTTAATATGTTTGTGGATTTTGAATACATGCTTCAAATCTCCATCAGTCAACCTGTAGTGCCATTGTAGGACATTCCTTTAAGTCCTCTGTACTGATTCCAGAACAAAAATGTCTTCTTTTGTTCACCAAAATTGTATATAATATTGTAAACGAAGCTATAGTAGTATATTGTATAATTTTTTAACATGACGTCCTATGATTTGAATTCTAAATTTTTGTTAGAAAGCCTACACACAGCATGTAATGTATATTAAATAAAAAGAAAAACAAGTAGCATGCATACCCTCTGAAAAAAATATTCTCTTTCATACCACAGAGGAAGCACAGGCAGCACTGGTTCTTTGGAGAAAATGTTTTGCTCTGGAACAGATCCAAACAATATTTCCAACCACATAACAAATGCCTGGAGTGCTCTTCTGAGTCTCAAAATCCCCTGAAATCAGGCGTATTAAAACTGAAGCTTGTCTGGCCAGTTAGTTATCTAATAAATCATCGTTCTGGACTTACCATCTTCAACATCGAAAGCGTAAGATGACAGCCGCAGAGTGGTGTTGCAGTAGTCACATTTGAAGCAACTACGGTGGAAGAATTTGCCCTCTGCACTGAGGCGCTCCATCACGTAGACTCTCTTCCGGCAGAAGTAGCAGACATCACTCCCGCCAATGTTTTGGGGAAACTCCTTACGTAGAGAGCCCTTAAATGAAGGAAACAAAGCATTAGGTTATCATTGAAGGAATTGATTGGGATAAGACCTACAAATAAATTATACTAGAAAAAATTTATTGGCAAAGCCTGGGTTTCTTCAAAGAGGAAAACATAAAACCAGGCGGCTGATCAAGTCTGGTATGAAGATCCGAGGCTTGGCGGGTACAAGGCCACAACAATACTCCCACAAAGCACGTGGTGTGATGCTGTTTCTCGGATACACTGCCAAGGAGTCCATAACTTTGAAAAAAAATGCTAATTAAAATCAGATGTGCTTTTTTAATAATTTGATTCCCCAAAGTGGAATTAATAGCATTACAATGACATTGACATAACGGCGTGTGCATTTTTTTCTTTTGAGCTCTTCAATGATTTGAAGATATGGAGCTTACCATTTCAAGACAGACAACCAGGGGGGGAAAAAATGAGAAATCAAACCTAACCAAAGGGGTTCTCTTGTTGGCACACTGGGCAAAACTCTATTAAGGGAGCAGAATGATTATCATATTCTGAATGATGCAATTTGTAGACTGTGGCCAAGGGCCAAGAAAGTACCTTTAGAGCTTAATTATGCCAACAGTTATAGTCCTTCCGATGCTGAATATAACCACATAATCAGTATTCTAATATTTAAGAATAACTGGATGTAAATGTCTTTCAATTGTGCAATCATAAAAAGTTCAACAGGTTAGAAGCAAACACGCAGTTAGGAAGCCTGTCTACTGTTACAGGGGAAAAAATACTACTGACAAAACAGGATGAAAGACACTGCTTAGAGCAACCTGGACTGAATTAGTCTGCACACTTGCTCAGCTACATTCTGCTACTACATGCCTACACTACCAGTTCTTACCAATTCCTTCTTGTCAAGAAGGGGCTTGGGCTTGTCTTGCGTTTGAAGCTGATTGGCTATCTGTTCAGCCAATGAGCTCACTCCACCTGTGTACATCTTTATATATCTCTACTCACAGCAGAACAGTGATGACAGGTTTGAAGGACAGAAATGAGGGAGAAAAGGAAAAAAAATTAAAAGGGGGGCAAAAGATTAAAAAAAAAACTTGAAACTACATTTTGGGAAAAAAGAAATCCAGCAGCACTTATTTGTTTTATCTGAATGGGTAGATAAAGCATTAACTTTTCCAACTGTTGTTCAAGTAGCTGTTGTCAATGATAGCACATCATTTAGAAAAAAAAACATATAATTAACTCCACCACTATATAATACTTTCCATAATAGCAAAACAGTAACAGAAATGCAGAAAACAAGAGTTAACTTAAATGTGCAAATTTAAACAGTATTTGAAATAAGATAATGAAAAACCGGTCAGTGTTCACAACACTTCAAACAAGCATGCTCCTCAGGCTGCATAAAGAAAACCAGTTAGTATTATCGGTGAAAAGCACAGAAGTGTTTTTGGCAAGAGCCTATTGCAGTGGTGCACTAGTTAGCATCACATGCCACACAGCAGACTGTCAAAGCCCACAATGTGCCCTGGGCTCTAACTCACTTGCAGCTCCAGGGACACCCATTACTCAGAATGAAAAGAAAATTCTCTATGATTGCAACACATTCAGCTTTTAAACAATGTTCAATAACAATTTAACTTCAAATTGCCAATGCACAAAAACATCTCACAGATGCCAGCTGCAATGCCAGCCCACCAGTGATTTAACAGAAATAAGTGAAATTTTCCTACAAAGAGCTAGAATGGACAAAGAAAACTTTCTGAAGATTCTTAAACATTTCCTCCACATGCAGAGCTCAAACAGCACACCTTTAGGGTTTTTGTTTTCACTGTTTATTTTTCAATCATAATTAACTTCCCTTTGAATATCAATTACGGGTCATTAAATCTTCACTACATTCCAGATTTATAAAAACTGTTAATGAAACATTGTAGCTCTCGTCATGATACTGTACATCCTCCTCATTCTTTAGAAAAGAATACCTGTCATTCAACTACTGATGAAAGCAGCATGTAACCATAAAAATATATGAACGACAGAATCAGAAGACACTAGGAACAAAATGTGAGTGCAGTTCTGGGATTAGTGAAGTAGGTCTTAAATCTATGTGAATGACCAAAACATTCAGCAACCTTTAAGTGAAAATGTTCACCATTATTCCATAAGTAACTAATTTTTAGTTTTTAACCAGATAACAGCATAAGCACATTGGGAGGGTCAACACACAATCAAAAATAAACACAGAAAATAAAGAGTCCTGACTATTCCGTAAAACAAAATTAAAATATATTACAAAACCTTGATCATATATTGAAAGACAGTTTCGATATTTATCAGAAACTTAGTTATTTTCATAATTAATGATGAAAAACGGCTCAGGGGACACAAACGGAGAATGGAGGTACTTTTATATGTAGCAAAAAAAGTTGTAGGAGTGTAGAACAAGTTACATAACCATGTTGACTTCAATCCGTAGATCAATTAACTACTTAAAATCACATTATCAAGACACCATAGATTCAAATGAGTGCCTCTCATTCCATTGTTTCAAACATCAAGACGTCCTCTTCAGTCACCTACTGTTGTTTCCTAAAATCACTTGTGTTGACTCTCCCATAACATAATTTTATAATTGAAAATTCTGGTTTTTGTATTGTTTTTTTTAGTTAACTATTATGTTAGAGACCTGAAATGATAATGTCCTAAACAGTTTCTTTTAATTCAGCACTTCTTGGAACGTTCATGTTTTTTAAAGAAAGTCCCGTTGGATATTCACATCAGTTAAGTTAATAATACCATTTTCTAGAAGTAAAAACGAGTGTTTTGCTCTGAATCATTACATAACAGGCATTAGAATTTAAAGCAACATCTACAAACGGAAACAGCGCATGCTCATAATTTTTTTTTTTACAGATATTCTGAGTGCTTTAACATGATGAGCTATTGTGGACATCCTTTATAAATGCAGTAAAAGTAAAAGTCAAGTCAACTTTTACTTTTTTTTGTTGCCATAAGTAAAACAGTCTGCTGGCTGTCATGATAAACTACAGAAGGTATGCCAACCATTTAACTCCAAATATGGCAGTGGTGAAAAAGTAGGATTTCTACAGAAGGCTTGAGAGCAAGTTGAAATTTTCTTGCAGTGCTTCACAGTTTGCAAAACAAAAAACAGCTCACTGTACTGTACTACTGTAAGGAGTGCCCACTGTTTTTAAGAAAAGAACAATCACATTTTGAACGCAAAAAGGGCGAGCTGCAGCCAAAATCTGTAAACACCACGAAGAATTCCATGACATAACATCAGTTTCATTTTAAGGATCAACCCACTAGACAAAATAACTTGCTTTACACCACCGATAAATCATGTGTCATGGATTCCTGATACTAACACTGAGCACAAAATGTAGACGAATGTCTTTTTTCAGTTCAGCGGATTCGAGAACATTGCCTTGATAGAGGTGAGGGCTAAGGAAAGAATTCACCAGTTCGGCTTTGGGCACACCTACAGTACACTAGTAACTACAAATCCAGTGGTCTTTTCTTATAAGCCATTCTCAGTAGAGCATGCGAGCCAGAACAAGGGTTAGTGCTGAGCCCACACTACAATCCCCACTGGGGCTACCTGTCGTAGGGACCCTGGGGAAGGAAGGTCACTGTACTTGTCTGGGCGAAGACTGCGAGACAGGTGCCACTGATCTACAAAGAAGTGCCGTGATGGCTTTTTCTTAGGCTCCGGCAGAGGAAAAGAAGACAAAAACTATTTAACATATTAAACAAGACTTCACAAACACACTGAGAAGGGAGAATGCATAGAGAGGTTAATTAAAAAAAAATGAAGAGAGTATAAAAATTAACCATTCAAAACCCATTTGGGTAGGCAAGGTACTGTCAGTAAGAAGCAGCCAAGATAACCCCTGGTCAATAAATGTCATACACAGACAAGTCTTAAGAAACTCTTTAGTCTTGAAGAGAGGTTCTTCAACAGAAAAAGTCAACCCAACAGACTGGGAACAAGAGATCCTTCAACTAATAAACTATTAACATTCCATTATGCATGATGTATTGAGTGGTATCTTCGCATTTGTAACATTTTTTGTGGATTGGATGAGTCTGTAATACAGGTATCACTTCATCTATTTATTTTATAGATATATGCCATAATAAATCAATAGGGACAAACAAGCTAAGACAAAAGTACTTCAGAAAATGGAGTTCAGATCAACTCCTCTCAGAAATGTGCTGCAGGATGATTGTTAGCAGTGAAAGCTGCCACGATAATCTCTCAGTCACTGCAAAGGCATTACAGATCAAAATTAAAGATATTTAACACCAGCCCAGTAAAATAATGTTATTTCACCTGTAGACTGGTATGGTTCTGTTGACAATGGGAAGAAACGTGTGATGCCCTCTCCTCAGTACTAGGAGTATACGTAACTTGGTCATCACAGTAAATTAATGGCAACATCTGCAGGAAAAGGTAACACTGTCAGCTAATGTACATTAAATGAACAGATGTTTAAAGACTTAGGTATGCTGCACCCAAACCAGCTGTATTTAACACAGTTACCCATACTGTATTTGCTAGTTAGCAATCCAATGCATGCCATAAATATCTGAGAAATATTATATTGCCAAGCCTGTTTTTCACTTAATAAACTTCACTTCTTTCTTTATTTAAAAAAACAACAAGCTGATTCTGTTTTATAAAGGTTATTCCACATACTGTGCATGTTAGGTATGTTAAAACCCAACGGGAACAATGCACTCACTGATTTAATTATTAAAAATGAGGTTTTCCAATTCTGGCAATAGTGGGGGTCACTCTGAAGATTATACTGGAGAAAACGTAACATGCAATTTCATATACAACAAGCCAAACAAAATGGTAATAGAAAATATTAGGCAAGGACCAAGTCAGGAGAGATTCTTAAAATGCAAATAACCCCCACAATGTACTCAGCTTGCCATAGGTTTCACTACACTAATCAAATTAATAACCCTGTATGATTCTGTAGTGCAGTATCTGAAAGGCTCATGCTTATTTTGGTTAATTTTGGTTATTTTGGCAGCTGTTTTGCAACATTGCTTGTTGTGTAAACTGGCTCGTGCTGCCCCAGTTACCCGATCTGAGACAGGCTTGTCCTCTTGACTGGGGCACTCAGCCACATCATTCTCTCCCGTCTACAAGAGCGACAAGAAAGTTGAGAGCACACAGCCATCATTCCAGTGCATTTAAGTTTAACAAACCGTGTTTAATCTTTCACAGGAAACCAATTAACTTTCCTCCTCTCAGCTGCTTACTTAAAACAGTGGCAGAGATTTGGAAACATTATGTAAAAGGTGGCTTTCTTAAAATGTTAAAACCCTTACTTCTACACCTACTCGAAAATACACTGGGTATAAGTAATCAAAACAGAAATCTACTTTGTTTCTAAGATGCTCTTGAACTATTTCCAGTAGATGTTGCCATAAAGCCAGAATTTTCATTGTTTCCAACACACAAAAAAGCACCTTTTGTTGTCCTACAGACATGATACAGTACAGTATATCCCTTTCGTTACACCCATTTATATCCTGATTATTGGAATTGGAACAAGTATTAATATAGCATGTAAATGTCAAACATGAAGGGAAAGGGTTCTTTAAGCCCTCAAGCAACTTCAGTTTAAAACCCTGCCCGACATTAACCCTTTTTTGTTACCACAGAGTAAGAAAATACTGTATATAAATTTGCAGTTAAATTGTCCCAAATCATTTGCAGTATTTCAAAACCCTTAACAATCAGTGGCTACTACAGATAATTAAATTTAATAGTAAAGTTAACTAATACTATTTTTGAAAAACAGATGAATTTAACTCTTTTGGAAGCTCAAGGTGTATAGGAGTTTAAAGCAATTGTGACAAATACAGAAAGGGAAGAATTAAAGTGTGCCATGGACAAGGCACAGAGCATCACCTGCACATGGAGAGAGAGTGAGGAGGAGGTGGAGGAAGAAGGCGTGAGAAGAATGATTTTCTTTGGGCAGGTTCGAGAGCTCGTCTCCTTTTTGGCCTTTAGAAATAGGAGAGGACAGGCTCAGCTCCACTGACATTCACTCTACGTTGCCTGACTGCCTACAAAAACTCCTGCTCTGACAAGCAAAAATCCTGGGGATAAGTAACCAAAGAACCACCAAAAAAAAGAACTAGACTGCATTTGTTGGCAAATACACCTCTGGATAACTCACTGAAATTGTTTAATAACACTCTCAGATGTTTTTTGGCTCATCACTTCAGCCATCTGCAACACCACAATCTATATTTAGCAACTTGGCAAACAAGTGTTTTAAATATTTACCATATATCACACAGCTGGAATGAGAAACAAAACCACTTTAACTATTAAAGATGGGATTAAGTCAGGGGCGGACATGAGTCACAGATTATTGAAATTTTTCGGGTCTGCATGATTTTTAGTGAAGCTTAAGATAATTTAATACAAAGTATTGGACTTTATTAGTTCTGCTTAATTTTTTTGTACTGTGGAGTAATTTGAAAATGTGTATCGCACGTATAACATGCTGTGTCACACCAACAGTAAAACCTAAATAGATGGAAAAAGGTCAGTGAAAAGGGTGTATAAACCATACAATTCTAGTGGGGGTATGTGTGCTGCAGTCCCATTGTCCAAAGATAAAAGTAAAACAAACCTTTTCTCATCATCCTCATCTTCACTGTGTGACAGGGTGGCAGACTGATATTTTATTTAGTATTCTCATCATGAATGGCATGTACTGAACCATAAAATGTAATCATTTACAGGGTCTTAAATCTTGTGTTTGATATTGACTGGTTTGATATTGGCACAGAACACAAATATACGGATGTCAAAATTACCACAAAATATTTTTAGAATGGACAGGCTATATAAGGACATACTATTTCTTTTCTCAGTCTCCGTATTATTTCTTAATTAAGTAAGCTACATCTAAAACAGCATATTCGAACTGTCATCCCCATGGCTTCTCTCACCCCTACTCCCCTGCCTCATAGTACTCCATGATCTGTGGGTCACACCTCCATCACTAACGCCCTGCTTTACTCAAGCTAGACTGAGAGGAAGAAATAAAATTAAAAGTCAACCATGAAATATAAGTATAGACAAAATTGGAACCACCTGCTCAAGGTTTTCAGTCTTCAGCAAGAAGCAAACAAAAAGATGTGAATGTGGAGGTTTATACTTTTTTTAAAAAAAGGGCAAAAGATCCACAAAAACAGTCTGCATTAAAAACAGCATGGTTAATAAACTACACATCACTTATTTGGTACTTTTTTCTCCATATTTTGTTGTACAACGTGTAGGGAACTCCTATTCAACAGTTAACGGATTTAAGGACAACTACGCCTAAGAGCAACAAGGCTACACACATCCACACTGGGGAGGAGAAGGGAGCTGAGGCTCTGGGCTGAAACGGGACACTAGTGTACAACCGCTACACTACACAGCATTACATCAGATACCATACCTTCTCCTTGGGAGGCAAAGTGTGGCACAGAACTGTCTCTCTAAAGCGGAAACTTAACCTCTCTTGTTGCTGGGTGCGTCTCTAAGGAGGTGAATGTGTCGTGAAGCAATGAAGGAAGGAAAGAGCATGTAATGACAGGGTATCTGGTAATTTGTAATTGCAGTGGTATCTCTGTCTTATTAGTTCAAACTAAGTAACAGATGTGCTACATGCGCTAATATGGTGTTTCTCAATACTTTCAATATTCCAATAAGATGTCAACTTTAAAACGTTTGAAAAACAAACAAACACTACACTACTACCACTATTTTCATGATATGGGAGAACAAACAAGGTTGGAGAGCAAGAATGTGAGCCTGTTTACTGTTTACTTCAGAATTAATTAGTTCAGTCTGTCTAAGTACCTAAACCTAAATACATCGTACAGCAAGTAACATAATTATGAACTCAATAACAGATGATGAAAGATTAAATGGAAGTTTATCTTGGAGTGATTGTCTGAAGACTGCGACAGGAGAAAAACAAAATCTGAACGTATAGTTCACGGATTTGTTTATTCCTGAATCATCTCTAATGGCCAAACAACTACCAGTGTATTTTCCTGCCTATTTCTGACTGTTGTAAGCAGAATACCAATTGACTTTACATAAAAAGATCAGTTTTCTTAAACTCCAATAAAGTTCTGATCTTTTCAAAAGTGTGCACACATAAAACCAAAATGGTGATCGTATAAAAGGCAAACGGCACCATTTCCTCTTTTTTTCCCCAAAAATCGAGGGGAAAAAAATAAATAAAAATCGAGCTACCGACATTGCTCGATGATGAAGTCACTTATGAAAGTGGAGATGTAACAGAATGTATCGCCGTGCCGTTTGCGCTCCAGGGCTGCGGAGGCCAGGCGCGGCCGGGTGAGTCGCTCTTTACCTGTCTCCACTGTGGGACGGGAGCGAGGCGGGCCTGCTCCTTCGGGCGCACGGAGGGCTGGGTCAGCAGGCGCTCCTGGTACGGTAGGGGAGGGGAGGCCGCCGCGTGAGAGAACAGCAAGAACAGCAAGCGAAACCCACCCCGCCGCGCGAGTCAACAGCGCAACCCCGCAACAGAGGACGGGCGGCCAAGGGACAGAAGAGGGAAAGAATGACATGATTCATGGAGGAGTTGCCATCAGTGCAGGACAAAAGACAAAGTGGATAATAAAAATGCCAGACCAACAGGAAATGGGAAATCGTAGTGTGTGTGTGTGGGGGGAGGGGGGTCTTCTTTAAACTACTACAGAGGACACACCCAAAATATCAACCTAGGAGAGAACTTGACATTCTTTGAGAAATGAGCAAAGTCACACATTTTGCTCAAAACCCCTTGCTTTGTTAACTGATACTGTGAAACAGTAATGCTTGCATTACATAAGCAGTTAATTAATTAAGGGCTTCTACTTTTATCAATATGTCACAACTTAATTTTTGAATGCCTACAATTCAGCTTCACCTCAGGTTCAAGACAGAGCCACTGGAAACCATTTGGTCCCATCCCAAAGGATGACAATCTGTAGGAGTCTAGAGATTCCATGCAAGTCAAACTAATGAACTGTAAAAATGTGTAGAGTTTAAGAAAGCACAGAGGGTTCAATCACTCAAAAACAGTAATAGTCGTGCCAATGAACATCACACATTTTTCAGTATTTGTTAACTACAAAGACTGCTCAGAAAGATCAGCACAATATTGGTTTAAAGGAAAAAAGCCTCCATGGCAACACCATATAGAGAATGGAACAACACTGCCTTTTCACACCACTGGGTATACACCTAACATCCAAACTACTAGAACAAGCAGCTTTCTTTGTTTTGAAATATCCTTAAAACCAGTTATTGTTAGAAAAGGTCTCTGTAAAATGCACTTAGATGTAAACGTTCATGAAAAAACACTTTTAACAATCTTGCATTTTGAGACCGACCTATGAAAAGTGCACTAAAAATAAAACATTATTTTTCAAGAAACTATGTTTTAAAAACTAATCTAAATGTTTGTTATGTTCTGCAGCTCTCTTGCCCAGAATGTTGATCTTTTCTATCATGTTTCAGCAATATTTCCACAGACAAGAGCTATACACATATGCTTTTATGCTGCCGGGCATAGATCAGAAAAATGCTCTTTGTGTAGTTAGAACAAATGGTCTTTGAGTAGTGGTACAACAGATTCTACATTTGCATTGCTAGTTCTTAATTTCAGAAACTAGCAACACAAAATTTATGCGTGAGACACCCACTTCTGGGGACTGATATTCCAAAATGCTTAAGTGGAGCTCCAAAACATTCTTATATCCATGTCAAAAAATACATTCTGAAAGCTGAATACAAAAATCATGTTACTGGGACATACAATGTTGTCGGTATCGAGCTCTTAATAGAATTAATATATTTAAAAAGTCCGTCCTTAGAAAGCAGTAGCTGAAAGGTTTAGGTCTGTGCTGCCCAACTCCTTCTTCATTCCCCCTCTGCTCTTTCCTGCTCCGTTTGCTGAGGCTCACCTGTCTCTTGAGGCCGGATGACTGTGCAGGAGCATTTTCTTCAAACTTGGCTAGCAGCTGTGTGGCCATGGACTTCACTTTATTGTGATTTCCAGACGTCGGGTCAACCCTACGCTCTGCCAGCGTGCTGACCAAGGGCGGCCTCTCATCGCGATAGCTCCGGGGCACTTCCTCCTGAACCAAAGTGGCAAACGTAAGCTACAAAAGCTACAGCCTTTGCAGTGCAGCACAGTCGTTTTACATTTTGCACTACACAGTAATGAACTTTAAGACTCCATGAAAAACCCCATTTCAGTTGTACACTAGAAACTTCGGAAATCAATAACACTGAAACTGAGGGACGAACTTCCCAGGTCTTTACATTTTTAAGAAAAAATAACTGGAAAAATAACACGGAAAAATTATTTATAAATATCAGAAGTTAAATGTTAAATTAAACACTTAAAGCCATTTATAAAAAGTGAAAAAAATGTATACTCTTGAAGAAGCAACCCAAGAGAAAGAAAGCAAAACAAACAAATGACCTGCATGTACATTAAGGCAAAGGAGAGAGTTCTGAAGAGTAATGCATTTAAAAGGCATTGCTACCATTACAATTAATATCATGTAACATTTCACTCACATCCTCAGATTGGCTGGTTTTTCTCCTCTTGCCAGAACCATCCACTTCCTTTTCCTTTTTGTCCTACAAGAGGGGGAAAAAATGTTAATTGTCGCTTAAACGCTCCCACAGGAAGAGAAGCAGGTCAGGCCATTCTCAGAGCCGCATTAGGGCTGTACCTTAGGGTTCCGTTTGCGAGAGATGCTCTGACCCAACTTGCTAAGGAAGGATATGGGAGACTTAGTGTTGGTGATCAAGGCGGCTTTGTCCTCTGGACTCAGATTATGGTTTTCTGAAAATAACAAGAAATACCTGAATATATACATGAATACCTAAATATCTATAACTCTATCTGTAACTATATACAGATCTACTAATTTGTACCTGGTTTATAATTCACAGATGTTTCACCTTATTACATCAAGAAATAAAACATTTAATATTCAATCTTTTTTCTTTCCAAAAAGTAACATTAGGATAATTTTTAATAGTGATTTGAAAGGCACAAAGAATTACCAAAACAAAAATCGTGCTGAGGAAAGTGCTCAGCAGCAACACAGTAGTACTCACCACCAGGGGGCACTGTGTCCTTGAACATCTCATAGAACTGGCTGAGATACATGACCATGGAAAGCTTGTCGGGCTCCCCCACCGAGGCCATCTCTTTCCCCGTCATGATGGGCGAGATCCCAAACTCCCGTTCTGCCACGTCAAAGGCCAGCTGGTTGTTCTTCTCCAGGTTTTGCTCCTCCAGGGAGTCAAAGTCACTGCGTCCAGACACGAAGGAAGACCAGAAACGCATCAGATCAGCACCGGCACAATGCAGCAAGAATAACCACATACCTCCACATGTTGAGCATTGAGAACATGCCTCCTAATGAGCGGCAGAGCGTGTGCACTCACACTGGCTCCATAACACTCTCAGTAGTGTTTACAACATTCCTCTGGTATCAGATCAAGACTACCACGTACACCACAGCCAAACTCTCTTTCTTAAGATTCAGCCAGATCTGTCATGATGGAACAGCTTCTATGACATAATGGTTTTCCAGAGAAAAACTATTTGGGAAATGGGTGGAATACTACAGTTGTCAAAAATATTAAGAAAGCACTGAAACCTTACATGATGTTTGCATTTTTCTCTTTTCTTTTAAAGATGAAGAACCACAAAACCAACACTTAACTGGTGTCTTTGCTAATTTTACGATTAATGAAATAGAACATGAAAGCATGTGTAGTTTCTGTTTGGAATGAGATAAACATTGTAAGAGAACTGTCCATTTGTGTCTATTTACAGTAAGTACATGTGAAATATAAAGTGCTTCAGTACGTCCTTTATGTTAAAACTGATGAGTACAATTCATTTAAAAATCTTGCATTCAAATTAAAAAGAGTATCATTTTGTGTTCAATAAGCAAGTTAATTAAGCTCCATTTACAGAGTAAATGCTCTATTTACAAAGTCCATATGACATTTTACAGAAATTAACTGTAAACAAAGAAACAGAAGAAAAACAATTTTGCACCAATTAGCATAGTATTTAGTTTTGCTATTTAGGCTTATGATAAACACGTTTACAGTGTTTTATACAAGATGAATCAAAGCTTGATAGGCAAGACCCTTACATCATCATTAAATCACTCTACTCAGGTAAAAAGCAAAGCTCAGAAGTAAAACTATTCAGTTATTTAATCTCTGATAGCTTATTAACATGTTTACAAACTGCAGACATTTTTGAAGAATGAGAAATTGTTGCAGTTACAATTTTAAACAAAAGAACATTTGCCTAAAAACCATCAAAAGGGAAAAAAACTAATTTAAAAAGAACACAATTGCTTATACAATGTATAAACATCAGCCATATTATCGGACAATATTATCAGACATACATCTATCTTGCAGAAACAGGTGTATTTATTCCGAAACACATCAAATTTGTAAACCACAGTTATTGCACAAAGATACCATTTAATTAACTTATTGTGGGAGTAAGGTAATTTTGTGTACCTAATTAATTTAGGGTTGCCACAGCAAAAGCTTGAATTCTTATACTTTGTAACTATAAGCTATGCCACATAAAGATCAAATGGATAGCATCCATTTTCTGAACATTAAATGGATCCTTTCAAAAGATTTTCCAGCTTATATGAGGATGTGTAATGAAATGTACAGTACAGTCAAGTGTGATTTTCCATATTTATAATTACCATCAGATAAATCTGCCATAAAAGTTTGCTCCAGTTAAGACTAAACATTTGTCATGATTAAATTATCTCTTAACGGTCTTGATGGTCTTCATATTCTGGCCACATATAGAGACCATCAAAATGAGAAACATGAATAATTCCTTCAATTCATTATCAATTTTAAAAACATACCTTTCTGTAACACCTTTGAGTTTTTGATATGTACCATATGATGGGGGAGGGCATGGTGGTGCAGTGGTTAGTGTTGCTGCCTCACAGCACTGGGACTGGGCTGAATTTCGGACATGGGGAACTATATGAGTTGTGTATGTATGTTCTCCCCATGTTCACAACATATGACTCACTTGCGGCTAGATTCAAGTCAGACCTTGAGCACTAATGGTTGGAAAGCTGCTTAAGAATGAATCAAAATCACTCCTTTCATTAGTGAGAAGCTTATGTCAGTACAAAGCCAGGAGGTGCTTAAACGGGAAAAAAACTTCTGCACTGGGCAACAGGAAGGACATTTGACAGCTGCGACAAATCCAGCTTCACCTTCATCTTTCTCTGAGACTTTCAAACTCTAAAAGAATGGTCTGGCCTGCATTTTACTCTGCATGAGTACAAATTCAATGTTCGCTTTATAACCCTTGAGAATTCAACTATAATTTTAAACATGTTTAGTAAGGTTTTGTTACAACAATAACTAATCATTTGCTTTGGAGTGTATGAGCATTGAAGTGATTACACAAGATTGACTATAACGATTATTGGCAACCTCGTAACTTTAACCATTTTTTCACCCTTGCTATTACTAGTACCTTTGTAATTCATAAGCGAGTGATCAGCTATTTGTGGAACCACAAACAGTTAAGTATGTTTACTCTTGTATTGGCCCGTTTTACACATTTTCTTGCGGTATTAATACAATTGTGTATTGTTTACTTTCAATCTATGGATGTTTTTTTTTTGTTTTGCTCAACTGAGTCCCAGTAGCCATAAAAGTACTCTCAATTTACCATTCCAATTTCTAATTGTTACAACAAAATCAAGCCACCTCATCACTGCACTACAAAGCTTATTATATGGTAAACAACTTTTAAGAGGTAGCACATGATAACTGTCTGCAATTACAAGGGTATTTCCATCTGGGCTTTATTGTACAAATCTGTATATAAAATGTTTTGACCTTCAACAATGTCAACTTATTCGGACAGAACTACTCACATGAGGTCAGGTCGGTACCGGTGGATGATGGCACAGAGAGCTAGTCCACTCTTCCAGGACATGGTGAGGTCAGTCACATTCACATTCCTGTATCCCTCAGTCTGTCGCTGGCACCAGTTCAGCAATTTACTGGATCTAGCTACTGACTCTGAAATTGTCAAGCATTATATTTTTGTAATGAAACCACATAATTTATCTGCCATAATAATCATGCAATGCAATAAGGACAGGGGAAATTCCTAATACAAAAATTAAGTTATGAAATGTTGCAAGCTGCAAATGTGCAAAAATCTACTCTAGTAACCACGCTAACCTGGTATCATTGGTGGTGGTAATTAGTTGAATATAAGAGAGCAGGTGTAACAGATGGGAGAAAATGAAAAAAATGTTTTCAATCACATGATTCAGAATTAAAGGCAGCTAAGCAGGCTTTAAATGAAATTAACCAGTATTTCTGAAGGAAAAAAAATATTTTGTAGGCTGCACACCAGTTATAGTTAGTGTAGATTTTAGTAAGGATGTTTGTGTTAGATTCCAGTGTAACTTTGATTAAAGTAAACTATAAAGCAAGCCTCTTCAAATACTCTTAAAATAGTTATAACATGCATATTGTCTATATTCATTTGTGAAATTACCTTGAACAAGATTTTGAAGCTGACAATTGTCTGAGGACAAGAATAATAAATAAATAATAAAAAAACATTTAAGCAAAGCAATATTAGGCTAAGGGAAATCAAAATTTGTAACAGAAGTCAATGCACCCAGAAATCTGGAAGAGATATTGTTTCTTTCTGCCTATAATTATAAGGGCACACTTTTGAGAGCGGTCTTTATTCAACAAGAGAAGATAATCTCATTACCTGTCTACTGTTTTAATGACCTAGCTTCTCAAATAAGATACCTTTGTTCCCTAAACAAATATCTAACTTCAAGCCTTTTTTAACATAAAACCAAATAATACTGCAACTGTACAATCAGCTCACCATTTCTGGAGAGTTTGGGGGTTTGAGAATTAACAGCATTTTCCATTTCGACACGCGGGTCCCTGGATTCTCCTGTGTCAATAAGATGCCGCACCTTCAGAGAGGAAGAAGATAAAAACGAAAAATTACCCTCATTTTTTTACTGTTCACTTTAGTTATTAAAATTCTCTTACAGAGCTGTTTCAAAGAAACCAGTAGCAAATACTGTGAAGCGTGAAATCTTGCTCATCACTTGCCTATAAAGTAGCACCTAGCATGTTATTGCATTTTGATGGTGCAACCTGAATCCAACATTAGTTATGTTCATACTGCAGCATTGCACTATTTTTTGAAGTAATGCATTTTTCTAATTTTCAGGACATTTCTTGCTTAGTGATTGTTTTGCTAATAGGCATTAAATAATTATTATTTTAAAATGAAATCATGATTTAAACAAAATATAAGTTTCAGTTTTCATAGTAACTTACACAAGTTTGATTTAAATAGAAAATCAGTTACTAATACAGTTCTAATGAACAAGTGAACCTTTTAAATGTCCACCTGCAAGTGCAACCGTGAGGACACCAACAAATTCCTTTTTTCTACATCTTTACTTTTTATTTTTGGATATCACTCTAAAACTAGCATCTCCAATCTACTCTTGGAGAGCTCCCGATAAAATCAGTCATTCTAGAGGGGGTAGAAAACATTAATTGGGATAGACTGCAGGTAATTTCAAGGACCAAAGTCCTCTTAATTCACCACATTGTTCAAGTAATCAATAACTTACAAGTGTCCCCAGTCTGACAAAACTGTTGATTTAGAGTAACATATGAAACATCAGATTGAGCCTTTCCAGAACCAGGGCTGGGGACAGCAGCCATAAAATGTGAAATTGATTACCATTTTATAGAAACAGGTGCTGTTTCAATTACACACCAAACTTGGCAAGTCCAGATAAACTAGTATAATGTGACATCCCATAGCTGAGAGAGTTCAATCATTCCTGCACCTTCAGGTTTCCATAATTGTCAGGACAAAACTAACATAGGTGATTATGACTGTTCTTGGTGAAACATTGCAGTCTATTCCAGATTCAGAGAAATGGCATGACAGTGGAGTAGTGGTTAGAGCTCTAGACTCCTGATTGGAAGGTCTAAAACCTCCTCAAAGACTGAAGGTCACCTGAAGGCCAGGATACCAGACTCCTTCAATGATTATTTCAAATTTTACAGCTTTGTTTAAGCCAGTGCAGCTCCACTTTAGTTTGTGCTGGCCTAACTTTTCCTAGTGATGGCTTGTCACAATTAAATATCTCCTTTCACATATAAAAAACTGCACATGGACAAGTACATTTCATGTGTTGTACCTGGCTGGGCCTCAGTGCATGAAGGCTGATGTTAGGGTAGCGTGTTGTTGGATCAACACTGTACTGACTGAAATTCTTACTGACGTTCTCTGGAGTGGTCTGAGGAAGAAGGCGGTAGATGCTTTCCCTAAAGTGTAGAAAGCAATATATTAAAATCTACCGAGAGCACTCTCTGCTGCACTCAATTATCCATTCTCACACACAGTCATGTTCGGCAGTTATCTTACACAGAACAGTGTTAGCGTTAATGCCCATGGGGCAGTACTCCTGATATAGCCTTCTTAATGCATGCCCAATCCATAACCCCAAATTTCCCCCATGAGAGACGACAAAAGGCAATTAAAATATCATTATAGTTAAGACATGTAGCCCATCATATAAGATAGTATTTTTAACAATTGCCCAATCAACACCGCAAGATGCTGTAAAATGCACAGCTCAGGAAATCTCCTGCATCTCTGAGCAGGATTTAACTGCACAAAGATGACTTCTCCACTGTTAACTGGAAAAAAAAAAAGTATCTTCCTCAAGTTTTAGTAAGCTGCATCTTTCACGTTTGTGAAAGAGTCTGTGATTCCCTTGATCCTATGGAACAGAATTCCAATCTCTTATTTTTGAGAAACATTCATACAGTCTCTATTGGAAAACCAGTGACATATTGGAAACATGACATTCTCTTCCAGTCAGTGTTCATGTTAAGAGGGTGATCTGCTGTAATTCACAGAACTGGTTTCAGTATTATTTCATTACATTACTATGGAGTCAATTCCCTTCTTTAAAAGGAAGACTTGAATAAGAGTTCCCTCTAGAAAGGGCTTTTCAAAAATGATCTTGCGTGATATATTCAAACATGCCCTCTTATATATAGAGAGATGACGGCAGTCCCTACCGCTCAGCCAAGACTTCAAGAGGGGAGTTGCCTTGTGCCCAACTGCGCACCATCCAGGCTGAATCCATGGCAGCTAGAAAGCCCCGAGCAATTCCAGTCCCCATAGGCCAAAAAGGCTGCAGGAAAATACATTACATTACATTAATTGGGATAGACTGCAGGTAATTTCAAGGACCAAAGTCCTTGAAGGATATATTAGATTACTTAAAGTGTACCACTGAATTACTATAAATGCTTTTATAGTAGTGATAAAGTAACTAGTGTACTACAACAGTACACCACCATGCATTTTTACATATATATATAGTAGCATACAGGCACAATTCAATAGGTTTCTGAACAAAGCTGAGGTAGGTACAGGTATAGGGTGCAGCCTGCGCTGTTGTTACAGTATAGCTCAGCTCCTGGTCTGCTTTTCACCCCACTCACCTCCAACAGACTGTCCCCCACCAAGGCCACCAGCAGCCGGTGGCCATTCCTCTCGCGCACCAAAGCCGCGTTCTCCGAGGCGTACATGCAGGTGAAGTCAAACATGGCCACGTCCGGCTGGCCATAGTGGTTGATGGCAAAATCCAGCCTGGGCAGCTGGTGATTGGTTGAGAAGTCGGCAGCCTCGCGGGCATAGTTGAGCAGAGCCTCCTGGTCTACGTTCTCCCGCGACAGCAGCAGCTCCGTGTCAGCATAGTCCTGAGGAGGGGTGACGACAGATGAAAGACTGCGGCTGGGATTCTTTCTTACCACTTGTGATTCAATCTCCATCAGAGTATTCAATATCTGAGACATTTACTTTTAGTGGACTACTGAACAGTTATCAGATTCTCCATTAGAAATTCTGACTATAATCCATGACTAAGTACAGTATCAACTGGGTCTTCAACTTCTTCAAAACATGAGGCTAGTAAACCTAAACTGCAAACTGCACCTGTTGGCAACATCTTATTGGACTCAAATATAGCGATTTGAGGTTCACACTGAAAATACTGTTCAGTCATTTGTTGTGACCTAACCAAAGGTCAAAATGCGGCCACAAGAAATAGTAATAAATAAGCTCTTTACATCTTCAAGTGCTTTGAGATGATTGCTTTTAAAGTCATAACATTTAATGACACGGGAGTTTTCTTAAAAGGGACATGAAAACGGCATTCCTTTCCTGTGACTACAGGATTATTCACGTGTTTTCAGGGTGTTTTAGACTACATTCTTAGTATAGTCTGCAATTTTCACAATCCCTGCTTGGCAAGGAGGAAGCACCAAATGTATATGCTTTATAGCCTGAAGACAGGATTGTGCTTTTGGGTTCTGCAGACAAGAATTTACAGAGCAAATTGCGTGTCTACTAAACTAGACTAAAGCATTATTTGTATCAGCCTACCCAAATCGTCTCACAATTAAATGAACTGCAAAGACAGAAGCATAAATGCACATAAAGGAAACTCAAATGGTGTCAAACATTTGTAGAGGGAAAATGCACATTTGGAAATTCCCATAAGCACTGTGCTATTGTTTAATAACTGTTCTGTTCATGTTTGTACTAGCATGTCTTTTTCATGAATTGGTTCCTTCTACAGTTTTGGGATGGGTGGATATATAATACGTTCACTCTTTTAGGTCAATAATCTAGTATAATGATATCCATACTCCATGGATCAAAACGAATTAACAACAGCAGCAGTGATCCGGCAAAAGACGGGTCTTACAAAGCCAGATTAATGAATGACTCTAACCTTTAGTGTTTTGAGAGAGGTTACTTGCTATTTTGTCCTATTAAACCATGACATAAAAGTGAAAGATTCCAAGGTACCAGCTTAGCAAAGTAATTTAACATGGATTCCTAAAACCTTTTGTATAAAAAAAAAAAACTTTCCTTTCATCAGTGCAAAAGTGTAGCCATGAACACTTCTCTGCATCTTTCTATTTTTGTAGTTTTTTTTTATGGTCTGTACTGCTACTCAAACTAGAACTTTACACTGCAATATCTCACACATTTTTGTACATTGAAATCACTTATTTTCTACAGCTGAATGTCATTTAAGCTACCCCTGCAGCACGTTACGCAACGGTTTTGTGGCTTGGGCTTGAAATACACTTTGAGACTGGAAATTATTTTAAATTATCCTATTTTTTGTAGTAAATATACTGCCTTTTACAAATTTAAAATTTTGTAAAATTCTGATTGGTTTTAATCACAGCCCAAACAAACTTTAGCTCAATAAATTCAGTTTAGTACCAGGTAGCTGGTATCAATGTGGACAGTTGTCTCACCTCAACATAAAATGTTGCTAAAATAAAAGAAAGAAAATTCATGGATAAGCATTTTGAAAGAGAGAAAATAAGAATACTAGTTTAATGTGCCTGATCATCTCCAACTCTTTTCATTTAGGTTGAAATTGTTTATCCAAGCGCCAGAAGCATTAGTGCTACACTTGGAAACAATATCTGCTACTTTATGGGTTAAGCCAGTTGCTGATCATGTCTCTTCAGCCATCCTGCATTCTGGCACAAGATAAAGAGGCCCTGAGCTGGAACCATGCATTTCTTCACAGAGCTTTTCACAGGGTTTTGAAATGCTCATTAAGAAATAGATATTTTGGCATCTATTAAAAAGGACTAACGTGGCATGACAACACTGGTGTCTACAAAACCCATCTCTTCGTGATGTTCCATTGGCTCTGAGCTCCAGTAGCTCTGAAAGGTAATAAAATGGCATTTGACACTGTCTGTGCTGCCCTTTATGTTTTGCATACTTAAATATTTCAATTACTATTAACTACAAATAGTTTTGCAACCTCCTGCCTGGAACACTTCGAAAATGTAACTGCATAAAAAATCTGTTACAATAAACAACTATACCTTGTGTCTGGAAGATAGATTTTCATACATGTCTTTTTAATGCCTTGGAGTGTATGTACAACAGATAGTATGGGAAGGGGGCAAATTCTAATTATTATAATTCTGCCAGGCAGCATTTTGTTCTTAACAGCAAATGATCCGGAACAGTATTACCTGTTACATTAACTAATCTGATGTCACCCAGACATCTCTCTGCCCTGCATTATCCAAAGACCTTTGATCACTCACATGCAATATGACTCCTTTCTCCAGCAGACTCTGTTTTTTGGCAGTCATGACGAAATAGTGTGTGTCGTCCTTGTAGTAGACGATATTTTCCAGGTCAATTCCTACAATCAAGGGAAACAAATTTATTTTTCTTGCTCAGTGGCCTTCATACCTTACTACAATTCATGACGCAGACTGCATAAGGAAATGGAACAGAACAGATCATTACAGTTTACAAACGTACACAAAAGTTTCCATTTCAGTACAAGAACTGGAAACAAGCCAGAAATTAAGCAGTTGGCAAGAATTATTATTTTTAAGTCCCATTTTTAACCTAAAAAATTTTCATTGTTACACCAAACTGATCTCTGTATCTGTGGCTACGTTGAGTCAGACATTTATTCAAGTCTAAGATTCATGGGCTCCCAGGAGGCACAATCAATAAAGGCTTTTGACCAGGTGCAGGCTAATTCCATGATGCAGGCATTGCGGTCTGAGCTTGGGTTGCTTCACTAGCCAACTACCCAAGGACTTGAGGACTTGAGAAGGACTACCGAAGTCGATGCACACAACTGGCTGACCACTATCAGGAGTAGGGTTGGAGTAGTTGACCACAGCTCTCACAAATCCCAGCCACACAGTGACCTCTGCACTTTCTACTTGCTTGCAAACTCACAGTGCTGTAGGGATGGGCCTCTCTTTCAATCAAAACTAAATTTTCCCAATAGGGGATTTCGTGGCCTCTGATGCTTTAAACAGATAGTTGTTCAAAGGTGGGCAGGTCAGAGGAGTCTGCCTACACTTCCTCGTTCTCCCCCATGGGCAGTCGAAGGGTTTGTAGAGACATGAAACACAGAACTGGAAGGACCTAATTGGGTGGGTACAGAACAAAACATGTGATTCTAATTTTAAAAGAAAAGATTATTTACAATATTCTTCCCAAGTAGCTCCTACAGTAAAACATCTCACTAAGGCTCAGACTGGTTCAGATTCAACTGGAAGGACCTAATTGGGTGAGTACATGACAAACATGTGACTCTTATTTTAAAAAAAGATTTACAATATTGTTCCCACATAGCTCCTACAATAAAACATCCCACTGAGGTTCAGACTGACACTATACTCAATACATTACCAGGCTTGCCTACGGCCCATCACTGACTGGGGACCTACAGGACTGAGTGTTGGCAGTGTCAGATAGAGCATGGACAGGAACATCAAGAACTTTGCCATTTATTTTACATAACTAAAAGCAGCTAACAGCTTAGACAGTATCTTGAAAGCATGTCACCTTCATTTCCTCAGACTGTCAGTCGTGGGCTTCTGGTTAAAAACTGGAAAAACCTAATTACAATGGCACCTAAGGGCATTTAAAACCCAAACCCTGAAAATGCAGAAAATGTAATAGTGTTGAGCCCTGATGTTTCACGATATAGAACCTAGATCAACCACACAGGTGCAAGAAGCTGTGTACGCAATATAGAACAGCTACATGACCAGTAAAGGTTAAGTACAGTAGGAGAAGCAAAATGCCAATAACATCAGTATGCAAAGATAAGTACCTTTAATCATATGTTAAAAGAGACAGGCAGGACTACACTGGGAGAACAGGAAGAAAACTAAAGGAACTGCATATATTTAGATGGGTTACTGATACAGGGATACCAGCTAGCAGAACGCTACATTAGTCTTATTTAACAAAAACAAGGACTTGGGCCAGAAAAATAATGTGTCGTGCCATTTAGAATGGGCATGTTCTGTAGATGATGTTTATAAAAAGATAGGAGAAGCATGTCAGGGATGAGTCACAATGAGAGTAAATCATAAGAATTATAAGGTTACCACATTGGAGGAAGAAAAGTGACAAGCCACATTAGAATAAAGGGATGATAAAGGATATAAATGAGGCCACATTTTAAAAAGGTGAATGAGATGATGCAAGAACATCCAAAAACTGTTAATAGTGGATTTAAATAACTTTCAGAACAAAACAATGGGGGAAAAAACTCTAAGAATTGCTACCACAGAAGCAGTCACAGGATGAAGTAAGAGAACAGAGAGCAGTAACTGAGAGACGTTGGTTTTCTTGCTGTTAATTGTTAGTATAGCACTGGTCCTAGAGGAACACCTTCAGAGACACAGAAGGGTGAAGAGAGGGTGGTCAGAGAAGCAGAAAGAAACAAACAAGAGTGAGCAACAGTCTCAAAAAGCATTCGGACAGAGGAGAGAGTAGCAGAAAGTACAGTGACGGAGAGCAAAGCAAATTCTGTTGAGTACATGGAAGGGATACCCAAGTAGAAAGGTCAAAGCAAGGAGAGGTCTGAGGTGACCATGCATAGCTGATGAAGACCTTGTTCAAGAAGCTTTGAATAAAAAGGGACGTCATGAAATGGAATTAGTTCTGGAGGGAGGGGTTATGTGAAGATCTTTCGAAATTACAAATAAAAAAACAACACCAACACTACCTGTAATTAACACCAACCAAAGTCTTGCACCAAGCTGTTTTCAATTAATACTAACCACTCAGAGTAAAATGACTGTATGTTTCAGTAAAAAGGGACATTAAAATATATTAAAAGGACTTAGCTGACCTGTAGCTTCCCGCAGGTCCTGGAAAAATTTCTGGTTGAAGATGAAGGCCACCCCACTGATCTCTTCCACCTTGGCTTCGGCAGTGGTGTTGCGGTTGATGAAGTTAGCCGTAATGGCAATGGCCAGCTTCCCACGAAACTCCTTCCTGCGAAAACCTGTGAGGAGGCAGAGCAGAAGTGAAAAGATAAGCCACACAACAACACGAAAGGCAAAATCACATAGCACTTTCCAGTGGACATTATTGTAATCAACACATAACAAGCAGTTTTTAATCGTAGAGAACCCATTTTAAATGCAAATATATTACTTCCTATATGTAAAAAGCTGAACCACAAGTATTAATTGAATGTTTTAAAATTTGACTTGGGTTGACAAAAAGGAGGGATTTTTAATAATGCAGAAATGATCAATTTCTGCCACTTTTCTCACACCTGAGGCCTAGTGAGGTCTCACACTTATTTTGAACTGACTGAATCAAGTGCTCACAGACAGGTTTTCAGGGATATTAGCCGGTTATACCTAGTGTTACATTTGGTATTTAGACATATTTTCCAAACACAAAGAACTGCCATTAAGCAAATTCATAAAGGTTGCATATAAGATTGAGCCCATCATACCACTTTGAGTCCAGTAGTTAATGGAAACAACATTCATTTTTTGAAAAAGGATCCAGAATTTAGCCCTCAACCACCCACCTGGGAATTCTGTTCCAGATACTTAAAAATCTGTATGTTTTGACTCTCTGCCCTTATTTCACCTACAGTGAGACTTACTCAAAGTCTGAATGTCACAATATCTATACAGCTTTGGATCTTATACAGTAATGTGAGAAAGAAAATACACCCTGTTAAAAAATCTATGGTTTTACATATGAACATATGAACTTCACCTAATCCTCTCAATGTCCTAACCTCACGTGACAAATAACACACACATTTTACTTTGTCATTATTTATTAAAAAAACAGCCAACATTCAAAAGCCTTGTGTGAAAAAGTAAGAGCGCCCTGCTTCCTTATCAGTTAAGAAGGTAATTAGAATCAAGTGCTGCTAAACAAGTGTGCATCATTAGTGGATTATCAGGTTCAGGTTTGTGGAAACACATGACATCAAATGATGTCTGTGATGGTCTTAGAGAACAAATCATTGCTGCTCATCAGTCTGGGAATGGTTATAAAGCCATTTCCAAACAATATGAAGTCCATTACTCTGCAGTGAGAAAGATCATTTATAAATGGATAAAGTTCAAGATGGTTACCAGTCTACCAAGGTGTGGGCGCCCCAGCAAATTCAGACCTAATGTTGCACCTACTTGTTGCAAAGAACCCCCAAAGTTACATCCAGGCCTCTATCAATACAGTAGACATGAAAGCTCATGGTTCTACCACTAGGAAAAAACTGAAAAGACTTCCACTTTGTGGAAGTAACCAGAAGAAAACCCCTTCTCTCCAAATAGAACACTGCTTAGGTTTGCCAACAGCACCTGAATGAACCACAAGACTTCTGAAACAATGTCCTCTGGACAGATGAAACTAAAGTGGAGCTGTCTGGCGATAATGCAAAAGCAGTTTTGTAGCAGAAATGGGCCAGAATTCCTCCCATGCAATGTGAGAGTCTGACACACTCTTAGAGGACACATTTACTTCAGGTAATTGCTCCAAAAGAAGATTCCACAGATTACTGAATCATGGGATACATTTACTTTTTCCACACTGAAATGTGTGACTACTGAATATTGGCTGATTTTGTGGTGTAATAAATAAAGTAAAAATTGTGTGTGTTAACTGTCACATACTGTTAGGACCTGGTGAGGACTAGATGAAGGTCAGATATGTCTTAATATGTAAAACCACATAACTGTAAGGGGGTGTACTTTATTTTTCACATCATGTAATTGAACCAACTCTCCCCTCCATATCCATTAATATACACTGAAGAAAGTTTCTGTCCATAAATGACAGAAATCATTCTTGTTTTTTATAATTTCTATAATTATTATATGGTGACCAAAACTGAACAATATTCTAAGGTAATTTTATCGTAATTAACCTTAATCATAACATTCATGGATGTAAAATCCATAGCTTTTGCGATATAAATATTGCAGTTTGTGTTTTTTTCTTTCTTTACATTGCCATGATAACTAGAGGACACAGAATAATTATGTAAAACGCCATGATTCCTTCTGTTTGTAGCTTCCAGCAACTTTGAATCACCCATGTGATTTACGTAATGGAAATTTCCACTACAAGCATGGATCATTTTGCACTTATCAGTGTTAAAATTCAATTGTCAAATGTCAGCCCACTTTTCCGCTAAGTCTTTGCAATTCCATTGCCACTACTTACATGTTTGCCTCACCCACTATTTTTATGTCATCCAGCAAATTGATAATAGTTAATATAGCAAATTTAACTAGTTTGCTAACCTTATCAGAATCACAACTGTACTGAAGATTACTAAGCAGAATTCTTGCTCAGAATGCATTCAAAAGGATGTTAGCTAAAACAAAAAAACTGAAGCACTTCATCTAAACCAATTCCATCTGCTGTCCTTCACTGGCCAAAAACAAAACTAACAGGTCAGACCTGCTAAAGTAGGTTAAGTTTTTAAAAAATACAAAATATCCCTAATATATCATAGTACATTCACCCCCTCAAACTTGTTTATTTTCAGCGTGTACATTACATTTAAAATATGACATATAGCACAGATCCAAATCATATGACTGACTCTCAAATTACCCCTCTATTGATTCCTGGAATCTCGTGTAACAAGAACTGGATTTTTACAAGTCAGGCTTCATTCTTTCTGTCTAACGCACAAATGAGCGACCTTGAATCTCAACAAACATAAACATTTATATTTGACAAGTGTAGTGTCTAGAGTTCAAGGGATAATAAAAGAAGGGCAACATTTATAACACTGTTTTTATGCAAATATTTTCAGTCCTCACCTCAGGGTTTACACATTTTGTTATTATAATTGAATAATCCCCATTACTTAATGGGGCCTTTTCATGTACGTTACCGTAAACAAGAGAATTCATGTTTGAAAAAATACTACATTTTAATATTTATAAATCATGGGAAAAAAGTTTAAAATAGTACATATATTTTAATTACCTTTAATTAAATAAAGCATAATATCAATTTATAAAGAGCTCTTTAGTAAAATAGTAAAAATTGAAATGTTTATACTGTACACTCTGTATATGCATAATGCTAGCAATTGTTTAGGATATCCATTCACATACATAATATTTTCACTGCCCTAAAGTGACCCCTCTCACCTTTTCCTCATCTGATATGGTGTTTCACATTTAAAGCATTTTAATGTTTAATTGGGATGGTCAAAGACACAAGGGAATTATTTGTATTTTATATGCCTTAGGTCACTGGGTGGAACACAGCTAGGTGCAGCCTGAACAGACTTTGAGCCCCAGTTGTCAAGGCAGTAAGAAACATACCAGTGGTTATACCACTTAACTTACTCAGTGTAGTTAAGAGCAAAGCAGTGAACTCATGGACAAGGTCAGACAATGCATGAAGCACAATATAAAAAAATTAGATGTGGTAATATACGTCCTGCTAAACCTTAGGTCCCCTTATATCTCTACCTGGTAATGTGTTTCTTCTTCCATCAGCCCCAATGATGACATCAAACTCTAACTCGGAGACAGGGTGTGTTTTTGGGTGAACCTCTGCCCTCCAAGCTATCCCTGCAACAGACAGAAAAAAAAACAGACTTCAGATCTATCTCTGAGGGGTGTCACGACCTCAGAAACACTAACATTATTAAAAAGACTACATAAATCACTGTTCAAAGTGACTGCTTACTGCTGTGACGGAACACACAAGTATGTGAAAGTTTAAAAACATTCAACAGTAACAAGTGATTCAGAAAGTTAGTTTGCATTGCTATTTCATGTAATCAATTGCATACTACAAACTACAAATTAACTACACTTAATTCATAAATTGACAAAAATGGGTTATCTTTTACAGCATAGATAACTGTATATTTCTAAAATTACATTTAAGCAGTTTTTACAAGGTTTAAATCCTTTTGTCTCTATATATTTTTAGGATGTACATTTGATGGTTACATGAAATTCTAAGCAAAATGAGTATATTTACTTCTCACCTGATCAGTAAGATCCCCTAGACTGCAGTGCTTGTAAATATATTTGGGGACTTAATGCTGCAGTTCAGTTGAACTGGACAAAATGAGTTAAACACACATAGGAAACTGGACTTTAAACACACACAGGAAACCCATGGGGGTAGAAGCACCTCATGGGTTTTGAAAATAGAGCCCAAACAGTACAACCATTCTCAGAATGGAGATGGAAAACAGTTCTAACCCAGTTCCTTCCACAAGCCACTGTTTTGGGGCCGCAGAGAAAAATATATGATGTTTGAAATAAAATATCAAACTTTTACTTCAAAGGCTGAATCTCATAGGTTTTGCATCACAAACTAATTTCTTCAACTGACGAAAATAACACAATTATGTGCAACTTTATATCTTGTGCCCATGCTAATCTGTCAGATAGTACTGCTTTCTCACTGGCTTTTGTTAGAAAGACACCTATATTGCATTGTGACATTTTACCACATATATGTTGATATACATGATTTTCATAGAATCTTTACATGGACTTTACATGGATCTGGGAAAATGACATCAAAGGACCACAAAATAATAGATTGGGTTACTAATTTGATCTACATGTTGCATGTAACTTGAAATACAATTTTTCACTGAATGCTCTGTGTCAGCCTAATGGCAACACTTTGCGTTAGAAACACTGCAGACAAAGTCAAACATGTATTCACGCAATCAAGTCTCCTATGGTGTGAAAATGTCAAAATATTATACATTCTTATATAAATATTAGTCTCAAAAGACCCTGAGCACTTTTAAAAGTAATTTTGCAAAGAAAAGCCATAAAAAGCCTTTTCTTTAGAACTTGAAATGGACATCTGAAAACTAAATAACCATTTTGAAGAAGATCAATTTTTCCAGGACCACATCTTCAATGTATTAGGAGCCTATGCAATAATTATAACCTAGTGCAATAAAAAAATGACAAGAGTAATGAAATAAAAAGACCAACTGCACCAACACACTCTAGATTTATTACATCAATCTGAGAACCCACCACCCTAGTGACCCTGCAACAATAAGTGACACTTAAAAGATAAGTTCATCATACGGGAACCTTCAAAAAGGGTCAGCCAGCCATTCTCATTGGATCAGAATAAAAAAAAGCCTACTAAAAAGGCTGCTGAGAAATGTGAAAGAAAAAAAGTAAATGTGAGCAATGGAATGTAAAGTGACATCAGAAACATAGGCACTACATAGTAAAAATGTACTTTGAAAAGAATACTCACTCTCATTCTCCTGGTCTTCAGGGGGCTCAATGAGGCCCCTGAATTCAACATTGACGTGAATCTCAATGCCCAGGATCAGTGCCACTTTCAGCAGCATGAGCTGGAGCTGCCGAATGCCTGAGAGAGAGTGATACATACAAGGCATGAAGTCACATCACACTTCGCATTCACATAAATAACCATCGAGGCTTTCCAGCAGATAGATTTGTGATAAAAGTGTGGATTACAGATGCACTACAGAAAGCACACTGACAGGCTGCATCACAGTGTGGTATGGCAACTGCAGTGCTGCTGACTGCAAAGCCCTACAGCGGGTGGTGAAAACTGCCCAGTCCATCACTGGGGTTACCCTCCCATCTATCCAGGACATTTATGACAGACGGTGCTTGAGGAAAGCTCTAAGCAAAATCAAAGACCCCACACACCCCAGCTACAGACTTTATGATCTGCTACCATCTGGAAAACGGTACCGGATCATTCGGGCCCGGACTACCAGACTCAGAGACAGTTTTTACACCCGCACTATCAAACTGTTAAATTCCCAGCCTCTCTCACTCTCACCTCACCTCTCACCTATGATCTGAACCTCACAGTGCCTTCTTCCTTTCTTTCTTTCTTACCAAAAACCCAAACACACATTGAAAATCTACCTCTACCATACATGTCAAAAGCTCACTCCCCATAATTTCTATCCCTTTATTTCATTCTGTTGATGCATATTTTTGCACATAACCTGTTACCTTTTTGTTGTTTTGCACATTGCCTGTTGTTGTTTTTTTTGCACATCGTCTCTTGTTGTTTTTTGCACACTGCCTGTTGTCTCTGTCTTTCTTTTGCTACACAATTGTATTGTTGTTTTTTTCTCTTTGTACTACTTATGTCTGAGAGCTAGCTAAATAGCATTTCGTTATACCATATACCATGTATATGAGTGTAATGACAATAAACTTGAACTTGAACTTGATAACTCACAGCCAATTATTCCTAGGAATGTGCAAATTTTCCCCATTTTCATTATTGAAGAGAAAACCAAGAAAAACAGGGGACAAAAGGCCATTTACAGGGCCCAACTCACTAATGTGGTCGATGGAGCCGGCACAGAACTTCCCATAGAACTTCTTGGCTCCCAGCCCCCGCAGGTCCTGGATGGTAAAGGGCCACAAGTGCAGGACGTTATTCCGTGAGAAGGCATCCCTCTTCTCCAGCAGAACGACTTTCGCTCCAAGGAAACCAAGCTCAATAGCCGTTCGGAGACCACAGGGACCAGCGCCAATGATCAAGCACTACCAGGTCAAGCAAAGAAACAGGAGAAAATGGAAGTTCTGTTAAGTAACTTAATCGCATCACTAACAGAAAGGTTGCTCTTTTAGGACATTTGAACAAAAACAGAATATTACAATCTGAAAATGCACTCCACGTTAATTTTACCTTTGAGTTAGCACAGGCACGTCCCTTCTTGTAGTCCTTGTGGCTCGCCCTCTTGTCAAGTTTCGCCCAGAGCGCCTTGGCCTTCCAGTAGTTGAGCTTCGATTTGAGTTTGTGGTAGAAGACGCGATAGTCGCTAGGCTTTAATTCCAGAAAGTCGCACAGTTCTTGAAAGGCCTTTAGTGTTCCTTTACAGGTGGTCGCCTGGACAAAGCGATCAAACAGGACGTGGGCCTGGTTCACCCTCTCTCCCCCTGCGCCGCCATCCCCCATGACCAGAGGTCAAGACGCCCCCTGCAACTCCTGCAGGGGTGCCCAGGGTCTGCCCGCCTTCTCTCTCTCAAACTCTCCTGGGCAGTCTTCCCCCGTCCACCATCATAGGTCTGGAACACAAAATACAAGAATAAATCAAACACAAAATTCTGGCTTTGCTTAACAAGTCCCCGCGCGAAACCCAAACAGGAAAATAAACTCAATAATAGTCCCTCACAGGCACACTAAAAAGTCACATGAGTCCAGAACACCCTCATTTCCATCTTTTTCAGATGAAATTTTTTCATTTCAATTATTTCAAATTATTTAGAAGGGAAAAAGCAGGAAGTAAACTATTGAGGATACAATATTTGAGCCACAAAAAAGTCAGGAATCTCATCTTTAAAAGGCTTCGTTCTTAGAACTATCTTAAAATGGGAGCACTCCAAGTGAAAAAATGTGGAAAATTAGATTTCACCGAGACTACTTAATAACATAACAGCTTATCTATAATAATTTGATTAATAACAAAGCACTTTATCAAAGGGCAATGAACAAAAGCGTTCAACGGGGCTGATATGACCTAAATCTTTACTTCTGTCATACATGATGATATAAATCAAAACGCAAACACCTTATTTGAGAAGAACAAAAAGGGTAAGGTGCAGAAAGTAACTTGCCAGCAAAGAAAAATATACTGTAGACAATGACCTTGCCATCTTATCTAGCATTTGAACAGCTAATGACAGGAAATTCATTAGAACACAGTTTCCCACAGAACCCAAACAGGATACACACAAGTGCAAAGGTAAACTCAAAACACACTGACAGGCAGGATCTGAAATCACCGTTACATTTTTTGGTTTTGCTTATTCAGAAAAAAGAAAAAGCAGATGTATAATTCATTTTATTTATACTGCAATTTAACTCCATTTGACAATGCATTTCAGATATTCATGCTTTCTCTCAAATCAGCTCATATGATACTTTTTTCTGTATTGTCAAATCCTAGACTGAATACCCTGTTTCCCTGTTAAATCAGCAACAGTTTCTGCAGAAGATGTTTTAACAAATACTTCACTGAATTTCTAAATCTCCGCTACCACAACACCAAAAATCAAGGCCTATGCCTACACGCTTTTTGAATTTCTTCTCGGTTCAAATAGTCACACCTAGAGTGCTTTCTGCAGAAGGACTGCATCCAAACCGTTTAGTCACACAGCAGGTCTCTTAATTTCCTGGTTCTCGTTGCTATGCAGAAACACACAACACAGGCAACTGTGTCTCAAGAGGGATTCACAAGCCTCAGCTGGAACTATTTAATCCTCTATTGACGAAACTAAAGGTCATATCTTTCTTGTGTCAAACAAACGGTAAAATTCTCTTTTATTTCAATGCTGAGTTCTTGATATTATGTGACAAACTACCTAACATTCACAAACCACTCCCGAAAAATTTTAGTGCTGCAATATTAGCAGTATCCAAACACCCGTTTATAAAACTAGACCAAAAAAATAGAATTTGTGAAGCAGTTGTGTACTGGGGTCCTATTCCTTTTTTGAATCTGTGTTTTGTTGAAGCACTGTAAAGGCCAACAGCCTGCTGGGAAAGGGCAGAGGGCAGAAAGCAAGCTGAGGAGGGCAGCGTCAGCAGCAGAGTGGGATGGAGTCAGCCGGGGTAACCAGTTGGAGGCAGCGACCCCTGTGTCTCGCCAGGAGCCCGTGACCTTGCCGTGCAGGAGTGCTGTGCACTGTTCTCCCCCCTTGATCTCTCACCAGCTCTCACAAGCACTAGGTCTAGCAGGAGGAGGGAGAGGCACACATGCAGAGTCCTCTCTTGTGCAAGGACAAAGGCAGCTGTAGAGAGCCAGTAATTCTGAGCTAAGATGGGCTAAGTGGTGATTCTTTTCACAAAAACCTAGAACTGCCAATAATTAATTGGTGGACACTGCAGTTACTACTGTATCCATAAAAATGACATTCTTGAAGAATAAATGTCATAAAACCCCTATGAAAAAGACACCTTTAAGGTTTAATCTGCTATTAGCAAATTTACTAATCCTCAAGCAGTGTGTGAGGTGCTGAAGTCTTCTGTTCTTACTCAGCTGTAAGTCATCCTGTTATGTTCTATATAGTTTTCTGAAATGTTACACTAGAGAAAGATAACTCTATGCTGCCCACCCCCAATTTGAGTTATTATTCCAGGAGAGCTCGTAATCACAAGCTAATTTATTTCAGTTTTCTATCTGAGGCATGATTTCAATTTTTTCTTTTAGCTTTAATACGGTTTAATGGAATTTGTAATTGGCACCAATTCTGTACCAATGTTTAAGTTTTGTAACTTCTCTAATACAGTTTTTAGTTGTCACCAATTGGAACAAACTCTTAATAAGCAAGTTTGGGGGTATAAAGAAATCAATTGGTATGCTGGAATCACTGAAAATATGAAGAAAGATATTGCCTGTTTTTGCCAAGTCTGGAATTCCAAAGACAAAAGTTTAACAAACATGAACAACAATTAACTTGATCGATTATCACCAGATTTAAAAGCTCACCTGGAATGAGAATTCACCGATACTGGGGTCTATAAAAGATCAGGATTAGGAACCACTGCAGTATGTTCAACTCATAGTGTCAGTGTACATACAGACGTGCACATTTCCAGACTCATCCCTGATTACTGCACCCCTGGGGCTCACACCACCAGTGTGTTCCCCCATCAGGTCCTTCTGTTTCAGGTAGCTGGGTAGGGCTACAGATTCATTCTGACATTATGGGACTCCTTAGATGCAAATGACAAAGCCTGTAGACCATTAGGCCTGCATGTTTCCTCAGGTACCACACCTGCATTTCTCAAATTGCTGTATAAATGTCACAGTTACAGAGAAAATAATGTAGTACACCAAGTTATGATAATCTAATACTAACAAATGTAGACTACAATAACGGACGCTGTCACCAACAGGTCCATTACAGAGGTGTCAAACTGCCAATTACAGGGAGAGGGCATTTAAAAATGTATTTTAAACCCACACCATCTCACCATCTTAGAATAATTTTTAATCTTTTTTGTAATCAATAATAACACAATTGTGCATAGTATTTCACATGGGGCATTGTTTTATAGGAAAGTTAGAAAAACAGTCACCTATACTATATTAATATTGAATTCCTGAGTATGACCAATTTAAACTTCACATTTCAGATGTTGTGAACAAAAAAAAATCACAGAAATCTTAAACTGAATTTTAAAAAACAAATAGCACCAAGTTCAATGAATTAATGAACTTGTTACTTTTCTGCTAGAGACCCCATCTGTAGGATTCCCTTTGGTGTCACTGTTCAGCATCAATCAAACTTGTCTAGAAATCCTTCCGAGCACAATGTTCTGGTGAGGACAGTTACAGTACCTATTTTATAAAACAATGCAAAGGTTTTTTTTTATCACAAAAGTAATGCCGTTTTTTAAATCCCTGTGCTTAGTACGTGTTAGTTACCTTTTCTCCCACAGCCTCAATTATGCAACAGAATCTTTAATGAAATAATTTACTCAATGAGACTTTTTTCCCTAAACAACCAAGGATTTAATGTTTGATTCTATTGAAGAAATACAAATGTTCAAAGGGTGCAGGTTTAACATTTAAGGTACATCAGGATTTGTACACTGTTATAATAATAGCTACATTTATCTATTACCAGACGCACACATACAGTATGTAGCTGGACTCCTTATTCACATGCAGAAAAGAGCTGTTACTACAAAAAAACAAAACAAAATAAGAACCACGAGAAGTGAAGGCACCATTCATTTAACTTAGGCTTACATTTCATCACATACTTCACAGATTGGTCCAGGTACATTTTTTCTGTACACAGGGTTACAAGTTAAAAGAGGTGTACAGGTTTTCCAGCTTACAGTATTTTGTGGGACATCAGTGCAGATAGAACTGCATTCATGTACACTGGCATGGCAACAGCTTAAATGCCTGCTCACCCCCTGCATATCTCACAAGAACCCAAAGTACAATTTGGTCTCCTGAAGCACAATTACCAGGAAATACCCGTTTAAAATTATTTTAACTTCCCTGTCCCTAAAACACCGCATCAGATTCACCAACATGTGCGTGTACTGTACTTTGTTCCAGACTCCCACAGTCCACTGAATACAGTGCCCCCTGTTCAGTTATCAATGCATTCGTTCTATTTGCATCTTGTGGGTTTTTTCCCCAGCAAGCTTCCAATGCTGAATTTCATACTAAATGTTTACCAGCAACAGAAGTACTGTATACGTACATGGTTGTCAAGTAAAGTTCAGGAAAAAGCACTTGGCTGTACCAGATATCCTGAACTCAAAGAGGAAGCAGTAAAGTAAAAAGTAGCTCTCTCATTAAATACACTCAAATCTCAGGCTACAGAAATCCACTGCCTATCCAAAGTAACAAGTTCAAGGTATAAATTAAGCAAACGAAGAGGTAATGAACCCCAGGAAATGTTTGGTTCCCACAGGTTTTTATAACTGATTTTATAATAGAAGAAAAAGATGAGGGAATTAAAAGTGCTGTGCTGTCCCCCACACAAAGCCAAGACTTACTGTATGTCCTTTAATTCCCTTTTCTTATGGACACAGTGCTTTCTTTGTCTTAGAAACAACAAGCTGCAATTTTTTCAGACTCTTGGAGCAGAATTACATCGTACTCCTACTAAAAATAGCAGAGCTGATTACATGTTTGAATATGCAATGTACATATATTACGTACCACAGAAATGTGAAAGTCATTTAAAAAACTAAAGCTTATACCATAGGTTTAACCATACAACTTAGCTGTTCTTTTTTTTTGGTAAGGTCACATCCTAGTGCAAAAAAAAACATCCAATATCTGTTACTCAAAACCAAGCCCTCAAATGCACTGTAAAAACTAAAGCCTCAAAGAACTACTGTATAAACCAATTCACTGACAGCTGCTCTCTCCCGATTACTGTATGATCAGGTAATGTCAAGCTACCATTGGAGAAGTAAAAGATATCCAGACAATACCCAACAGAACAGATTAACCATGTCATCAACTGGAAGCCTTTAAGACTGAAGGAAAAATGTTTAATCACAAAAGTGTTTTTACAATATGCTCTGTAGA